AATTTATTTTTGCTTTTTTACTTTTTTTTTTTTTATGTTTATTATGCCATAGTATTAAAAAAAAATTAAATTAAATTATTAAGAAATATAAAAATCCGGAAAACGGACTAAATGGTTGTATTGAATTATTGTTTTTGTTATCGGTTTGATTATTAAATGTATTAAACGTATAAATTATCGACCTACTGACAGCTTACAGGTTGATAGCTTAAGAATCGACCTACAGACGGCCTACAGGTCGATAGCTTATCGACCTACATATAGCCTGTAGGCTGTGATACCTACGGTCAGTAAGACTATAATAACATTGACATCGACCATTTCAAAATTTTATGAAACCATTACTAGACATTAATAATATATTGTGTTTTGTTACTTGTTTCATTAAACGAAATTAATTATCATGGGTTTGATTTAAACGAAACCTCTTGTATGAAGTATCTACTACCTATATGTACCGATCATTTCAGTAGATGTAGAGCATTTATTTTCTACGTATGAAAACGTTTTGTCGGACAATTCAGTTAATTTAGTTAGTGCCACACTACTACAAATCTAGCAAAATATATGGTAGTTAATTATTTTTTTAAATTTAAATTAATTTTTCATTTTTTTTTTTTATTTTCAGTTTTATAACTATAGTTTGTTTTAATTTTTTTTTCATACTTTTTTTTTGTCGCTTTTTAAAAAATAAATATGCTTCTTATTTAAAACAATTTTGTGGTTTTTTTTTTTATTTATTAACTTTAAAATCCGAGTCTTTGTTATAATATTAAAAATAAAATTTTTAAGCTCTGATGTATTCTACTGTTTATAATTAATTTTTAAATTCTAAACTTCTGCCGGCTACCGTAAAGACTGAAGTATACACACTTCATATTAAACTTTGCATTACTGCGAGAGGCAAAACCTCTACACCCCTCCAAGATACATTAAAACCATATTCATAAACAATAATTAGTCCGTTTCTATTTTTCTCTGTTATTATTTAAATACAACATTGCAATAAATAGGACAATACTAATATTATGCTATTAAGTTTTAATTTACAAATTACGAATAATATTGTGTGCTATTAATTTATCATCTATAAAATTCAGCAGATAATGTAATATGTATAAAACATATTTTTTTGATATTCTTATAAAATACCATAAAAACGTAGGTATTCATTTAAATGAACTAATCGATCAAAAACGAACCGAAGAAAAACTTTAAAAACTTTTAGACCGTTAATCGTTTCACACTTTTTAATTTCACATTAGTGTATTAGGTACTCACTGAGCATTACACACAATTTTGGTCCCCGTCATCTGTCCATTTTTGGGTGTTGTGGTGTGTCAATGTCACGTAAGTATTGTGTAAATCTATAAATGTGTGAATGTGTCGTAGTCTGTAGAAACGCGTTTGTGATATGCGAGTATGCTATATGGTACTTATCCTCAACTCTCAAGTTTTAAATGTCCAAGTAAAATCCCTTCTACAGTTATTTACTCTAATCATGCTTGGTTCGAGTTTGTCCCTCAAGTTAGACAACATAACGTACATGAGATAATATAAAATATATCAATCATAATAACAATATAATAAAATATATAACAAATATTTATTTATTTTTTTTATTATCAGTTATTTGGTATTATTGTTATTAATTCTGGGAATCTACAGTTGTCTATCATCGTCGTATTATCTGTTTCACTCCATGCCCTATGATCCGTACGGTACTGACTACCGACAAAATGACAATGATTTAGGATACCTATATATAAATATATAGCATAATAAGTAATAAATTATTGTGAATTATACGATATTAATATTTTATCTACGCTGACAATCATTTTGTGGAATTATTTATACATCGTAGTCATCGTACTGTTCAGTTCTGTTCACAATGCTTCATTACACATAATTGGTAGGTACCTAGATTTAGTGATAGTTATTATTATTCAATAGTCAAACGTAGTGGTGTAATATATTATGTTCATTTTAATAATATATTTATACTTGTCGACGACGTTATGCTAATACACAACGTACACTACACATTTTAGAACCGAAGACGCTACTGTAATCCAACAATGTGTTTGTAGTTTCTGCTGGCAAATAAAATTATAATAACTTAGCATTGTATTACAACACGACCGACGAGTGCATATATGAATAACAACGAATTATAATTATTTTATCCATCCTGTATCTTGTTTGACAACGGCACGAGGACATAAACAGTCATTATTGTATTTTTATAGTATGTATTAGAATATATTACAGTTTTTCTTAGGTATTCAATCAAGCAATAATAATATATCAGTGATTTTTTTTTTTTTTTTTTAAAAACATGATTTGTCTTTTCAGATTTTTTACTGAAAATTCCTGTGTTTCACCCAAAATGTTGAAGATATTCGACTTCATATCCTATTGGTATATGCGTTACTTACTGGTTTCCGAATTATATTTAGTAGAAAGATGGGAAAGGTGTATGATACGTATCCTTTTTTAAATGTTATCATATTGTTGGTATTTAATAGAAAAACCTAATAACATCAGAAGTATAATGGTTAATATTAATATCAGAATTCATAAGTTCATCGTAGATGTTAGCCATAATCAGGGCTCGAACTGTACAACTTTTTCTATCCAATTATTATTTAAACAGAACAAAGTAGCAAAGTAAGCTATATATTTATTTAAATATAAAATGTTGTGTTGTATATTTTAGATTTTAGGGCCATTTACCAGTTTCTAAGAAATATTTGCTAATTGATTGAGACTTATTTTGTTTTTGAGGGAAGTTACAATAAAAAAAAATAAATAAGACATTTGTTAGAAATTGTTTTCTAAATAACTTTAATTTAGTTCTATTTAAGAACATTCAATTATTTATTTTTGTAACAATTTAAATCTAAAATTTAATAGATCACTTATTTAGTAAATAATAAATAGGTAATAATTAAAAAAAAACTTTTTTCTTTATTTTTAATTTATATTATTGGGCATATTTCATTATTTCCAGATTTATTTGGTTGTATTATAGTACATTATATATTTCTTTTAAGAGTTTTTCTAGTGATTGAAGCCCTAATTATAATTAATGTCAATTTAGTATTCAATTAATTTAAAAAATAGTAATAATATAACACCATTAAAATGTATAAATGAAAAAAAAATGTATAATAATATATATATTTTTATATATTGTATTAAAAAACAGTGTTATTGATTAATATTTGGCATGTCTTTTAGACATTAAACACATCTTTCTGATTAGGAATTGCTGATTTAGATTGTGAGCTATGACAAGATTTATTAAAATATAAATAACAAATGATGCAAATCTTTTGGACAATTTTCATGAATTTTATTTTTAGAGCTGTCTAGTATTAAATTAAATTAAAGAATAGAATAGTTAAGCAAGTAATACATTTATTAAATAATATATATTTATTTATTTTTTATTTTGATTTTTTGACAGTATTTGATAGCAATTTTGCTTATTTTTTAAAGTGTATAAAATGAATAACAAAACCGTTTTAAATAATTTATGCTGTATTAAAATATACTAGACGATGGTAGTTAATTTAGTATATACCTATGATTATAAACCCAAAATGCCAAACCTAGAAGTTCTGAGTCTTATTAATAATTCTATATTATTAGAATAAGTACATATATAGTTACATGTATACTAATTAGAGCCTTTATAGTTACATAAATACCTATTTAGATATTATAATAATTTGTAAGTAATAATTTTGCTGTATCAATCGATTTGATAAATTATAGAAATTAAATGTAATTTCAGTTTGTCTCAATTAATTATAAGATTATCCTAACAGTTATTATGATCTTTAACTAATAATTAACTAAGTATTGTGGTATTATGTGAACATATATATGTATATTAACATTTTTGTATTCACGACATATTTTTAAATTTTTCTTAATGAATCAAATGTAGATACCATAATATTTGTACTGTTCTTTGGACTATGGTACATGAATAAAGTGTTCATTGAATTTATTTCAAATTGCATGATATGACTTGACTATAATTAAATATTACTACAAGATTTTTCTATCAAGTTGTTTAATCCTTGAAAAACGATCAAAATCTGCATCCGTGAAAAAAGAAATATTTTTTACATTACTATTAATTATTGATTTTATATTATTATTATACAAAACCTATTATGCTAATTTATTAAATAAAGAAAACATTTATATTTTTATTCCATAATATTGTGTATTGATTTAAAAATACAAGCCAATACACTAACAATATCTAAATATTCTAGCATAAAAATAGTTTAACATAATAACATAACAACAGTTTTGGTTAATTGGGTACCTAAATAAATATTTAAGTTTGTGCGTAAGCAAAACATAAAGTATATTCTGTAGTGTCGGTAAGTGTTATAAGCATAAGGTGGTTTATTTCATTAAAGATGTTTTTATTTAAAATTATTATTTATATTATATTTATTATAATTAGTAATAAGTTTTTGAAATGAAGTGTTTATTTCTTAAATGAAAAATTTGTTCAATTTTAAAGAATTAATACTTAATTTTAAGACAACAAGAATATATTCATAGCTGATAGTAAATAATAATTAACAGTACTAATATATACGTAAAATTAAAACTTAAAAGAACTATAAGATCAATACAATGAGAAAGATTTAAATATTATTATTATTTGTTTAAATATATTTAAAACATTAAATTAACTATAAAATGATATCACATTATAGTATATGATGTAATATAATAAAACATAAAGAAATAAAATATTTTAAAAACAATTTAAATACCAATAAATATATTCTAGGCACTAACCATAAGTTTTATTTATCTAAATATCTATAAACAAAGCTGTACTTGTAGTTCACCCCTCTTATGAAATTTGAAGAATTATTTGTTTTTTATAGTAAGGACTATCATAATATATTAAAACATTACTGCCTATTTACAAAAACACCTACCAAATTTGTATTTTAAGTACAACCTTGTTTATAAATTATCACTATATAATACTTGAAGGAATGAAAATATCATTAATGATATTTATGAATATCCGACACTACAGTTCTAATGTTTTAGAGTTACACACACTTTTAAAATACAAATTATTTCAAAAAATATGTGGAAGTAATTTTTTGCACTAATATGACATGCGAGTAACGTGTTTTAAATCTTCGATGTCAACCAACATTGAATCCTTCGCCATATGTAATTCATCTCTTTCTAGTAACAAATTCACGAGGCTTTCGTTTAAGTCTAAACAAAAAATAAATAAATAAAATAATTATACTTTTATATTTTCTTAGATAAATAATTAGTTGACTTGTACTATACATATATGAAGTGACATACTACAGTATGCATTTACTCACATTCGATGTAAGAATGCAGATCATTAACAATAACTTGTAGTTGTGCCAAGTTCAAACGCATTAAGAAATGTCTACTAACACGTCTTCTATCATTATCTAACTTCACTCCAACCTAAAAAAAATATTTTTGATAATATATTGAAATATAATAATTAATATTAAAAGTAACTTTATAATTTTTTAATACTATTAGGAAAATAAAAAAAAATAATTCAAACATAATCAAGTTTTTCAATATATAGTTTCCAGTACATAGTGACAGTTTAACAATACAATAAAACACATACATTTTTTTTGCTGTAATTATATTTAGTAACATACAAACATTTATAATTTAAGTGTAAAAATAACATCTGACATATCATAAGCAATTTAATCATTTAAATCTCTCTTTTTAATTCAAGAGTTCTTCAAAATTTGTTTACATTCATTTTTGGTTTCAGAAAACTTCAGGTTCTAAAATCTGGCAGACCATTTTTAGTTGCTGCACAATGGGATGAGTTATTAAATAAAATGTTTTTGCAATATAGCTTATGTTATGTGAAAGTTGTGACAAGTTTCTCTATTCTGTCGGAACCAAAAATTATCAACATTCATACCTTCCAAAACAGGCCAATGCTACTCAAAAAACATGCTTCAGTAACAATCACCTTTTACAGTGACCAAAAATCCTTTGTTTTTTATAAAGAAAACTTTGAATTTTACTTCAAAGTAATGCCTCAATGGGTGACCATACTAGGTGTTATTTTTCATACTTAAATCAAAGAGAACATTAAATTTAATTACAATAAAAAAAAAATAAAATAATTATTAAAAATAATGTATGTTTTATTGAGTTTTCTAATTTAACGCAATACGACTGGTATCTTATATTAGATAAAATGAAGGGTTTTAAGACTAAAAATTAAGGTTAATATATAAACCTATACTAAAATATTTTATGATAAACTTAGTTTAATACATATAATTATACTTTTAAAATTATATACAACATTCATAAAGAAATAACTAATATTCTGATTAATAAGTTATGCATAATAACTTACTTTTGAAAGACTTTCTTTAATTACAGCTGAAATTACACAATTGCGCTGATCTGAAATCATATGTGCACGTGCTCGATTTTTTGCCAAATGCAGACCTTGTTTGAGTTCAGCCTAAAAATTATTTTATTACTCAAATATTTTTAAAAAAAAATGTTGCACCTAGTAAGATTTAAATGTAATGATTAATGCTTGATAATCGATTATTATACGTACAGCAGATTTTATCTTCTCATCTTCAGCTGAGATGTCACAGTTATTAATTGGTAATTCAGTATCTGAAGATTGTTCGTTCATAAAGCATAGCTGTAGATTAGACCCTATAAAATAAAATATTATAATATTATGTTTATAGATATAACTTAATATTTAGAAATAATTTGATATAGATTTATATATATATATCAATAATAGAGTTGACACTAAACGGGTATACAAATAAATAACAGAATATAAAAGTTATATAGTCATATAGGTACTGTTGTAATACCCAAATAGTTAAAAATACTAACTTTAATGTTATTTTAAATTATTTTTAATGAATGGTCAAGTAACCTAGCCTTATCTTTGTATGTACACAGTAAGAAATTTAAAAAAAATATTTAAAATTATATATTATTATTCAAATATTTAAAATATTATTATGATAAAATACATAGCAAAGAACATACATTTAAAAATTTAAGAACCTTATTGTTAAATGTAAAATTTTACTTACCGTTTTGTAATCTAGATTCTAAACTTGATTTTTTTGTCGACTTTCTTGTGTTTTGATAGCCTTCTACTAAGCGTTTACGAATTTCTTCACGGTCATTTTTTTTTCTAAAACAAATACCAATTTTTATATTGATTAGTATAATTGAATAAAACAAATTGAAAACAAAGGGAATTTTAAGCTCATATTTAAATTGATTTAATTTGATTTTTGTTATATTATTATAATGAGTTATTAAAAATTTTATTTTTATTTCAGTGGTTTTAGGATACCTATGAAAATAACCAAATTGTTTGCACAGATAATTTATAAAATGTTTAGTGTGTTTTTGTCATAATTTCTTTAGTGCTAAAATTCGAATAAATAAAATGCTGCTCATTTTGCACTACAATATGGTCAACAGCAGTATCGTTCACATTCGTAATGAAAAACTACAAATGAATTTAAATTAAAACGCTTTACCGGGTTATACGTTTTTGTGTCTAAGGAATGTGTGTAATTGCTGTTGACAACCTCGAGCTCATTAACCACAGACATGTCAGTGAACTTGTGTACGAAATCGTTGTCGTCGTAATGGCTTGTGGGATTCTGATATATGAAACAACCTTTTTCCAACTCTAGACACTTGTTGTTGTTCGGGTAAGCGGCGGTCTTGTTGTTGTGGCCGATTAGCATGCGTCTGTGGGCCTGTGTTTCCTGATACTCGTTGTCGTACAGCAGTGACTCCTTGAGGGCTATACCATTGAAATAGATGTTCTCTTTGATGTAACGGCTGTTCGCTCCGCTGGACTTGCCATAGTATTTGGGTCGCAGTTTTTCTTTGAACGTTGCGACTAGTGACGAATGATCCGACATGGTACAGTAGCGATTAATTCGCGATTCGAATGTCCGGCGCCTTATGGATACGTACCGTTACGTTTGAACGGGACACATTCAAAAGCCGTCGTCCAGTACCAACAGTGTACCGCTGACGGCGGCGTTCGTCTTAATGATTTTTGTTTGGCGGACTTCGGTCTACGGGCTATACGGAGATTGGCGACGGCGTAGACTCTACCCAATAATAATCCCTATCGCCTTATCAGTTAATAATAAATGTTTTTTTTTTTTTTGATTGCAGCAAATCAATTTCGGCTTGTAGGTAAACAAAACCCAATCTGTTTACCAATTGCCCGTGTTCAAATAATGTTTATTACGAAAAATTAATATTTTTTACGACGGTATCTGGTAACGTGTGCATATAGTATTATGTCATAAATTTTAATGTGGTTATCTATGATAATTATCTGTAGCGTGGGTATTAAAGCTTTCAAAAATCGCGAGCACGCGCCAATACGTATTAGGGGTAGTCGCGTACTTACACTCATACATGATGAATACATGTATAGGTATACGGCGCAATGGAGAATATCGATTTTTGGGGTGTTTAATAATTGCGTGCCGAATTGTGGTAGACGTGTGTATTCGTTTACACTCGTGGCTAGCGAGGGCGGTTTGTGTGACCTTATTAGTGTTACAAAATAATATTTTGTTGATTTTTTTAATACCTAGTGAATTTTTATGAGGAATTATGATTTTTAAATTCCGTATAAATAATAGTAATATTTAAATATATAATGGGTATATGTATAGTGTTTTTGAAAAGATTAAATATTCTTTTACTAAATAGCACTCATTATTTTAAAATCTATTAACGTTATTGAAAACATAACGAAATAAAACAAAATTATATTTATCTTCATTATTTATCATATAATTTTATTGTTCATTTATTCAAGTATTTTAATATTTTGAATGACAACAATACAACATGCATATTAATTTCATATTCTGAAGTATTTCGACACAAAAAAAAAACGAAATTAGGACGAGTACCTAGTTTATTATTTATGAGTTATTACTTTTTAAGTATTTAAAGCTTAGGTGAGCGGAGTAGTAGACCAACATTTTCCGGTATATCCCCATTATCCATACCTCCTCACTTTGCATACTTAAACTATACATATAGCAGTTATAAATCATAAACTATTCGTCCGAATTTCAATTTGTATGTATCGAAATACTTCGAAAAATATTGTTCTAGAATATGGAATTAAAAGTTAATGTTGTCATTCAAAAAAGAAAAACTTGAAACAAATATTAAAATATATATATATTTTTAAAAATGTTGTTTTATTTCAACTAGAAATTGTGTAAAAAAAGTATTTTCAAAAACATTATTAGATTTTGAAATAATGAGTTTACCTATTTGATAAAAGAATCACTCTGTGTGTGGACTATGGAGATCTACTTATGCACTTATATAAATGTATAAAATAATATATTGTAGTCGTTACTTAGATAGCTGGTTCTTCAAAATTACAAAAATGTGTAAACTATTTTGTAATTTAAAATTTATAAAATTTTTAATTTTAACACCCAAGAATTGAAAATATTTTACAAGATTTCTTTAAAATTTGCAAATTATTCAGTAGATAAAATTGTATAAAATTTTTAGTTTTATTTATTTATATTAATTTTAGTTAATTTTTTGTAACTTATAACTCAAAAAATTTGTAGAAATTTGAAAATGTTCGACTTTTCATTGAATATTGTTAATTATCCCAATGAAATATGTAAGATATTTTATTCTTATATACTCGGAGGGGATTGGCCTGGACACCGAGACAAATCTTGCGGGTGGCCCGTTACATTAAAAGATAAAGTGGCTATTTTAGGAATTAAAATATAGTGTATGAAATAACATAAGAATAATATATATATATAATGCATAAATAAGTATAACTCGTGTGTTTTTAAGTATAATAATAATCGATAATTTAATAGTATTATAAAGTAATCCAAGCGTATTTTCGATAAACATAGTTCGTTCGGACAATTTATACGATGTACAAAAACGAAATATACATACAGATACAGATTACAGACATTGAGACATATATGTATATGGGCGAATAGTCTATGTAGGGATTTATTTATTAACTATAATTATTATTTTTTATTACTTTTTATACTTACTAACCTACTCGTAATAAAATGACTATTAACGACACCGCGCCACCACACACAAGTTCTGATGCTCATTCGCACATATCGCTAATAGCAAAAACAATGTTGTAACATGTAGTCCCGTGTATTATTTTATTTGTGTGCATTAAATGAGACTAAAATATTAATGGCAAAATCGGGAAAACTAGTGATGTTATGAAAAAAAAAAAAAACCGAATAATGTAAAAAAAAGTAATACTAAGTCTATTTTAATATAGGTAGTAAAAATATATACATCTAAACATATTATGTTATATCATGTAACTTTTATGTGTTATGTGTAATGTGTATTTTTATACATCTGTATTAAATGTTGAACATATTTTTTTTTAATAATAATTAAAGGTTTTTTCATTATATTTTTTACATACTTAAGACCAAATTATTTTTTCTCTGTTAATTTTTAGCGTGGTAAAAAAAAAAAAATCTCGGCTTGAATTAATATTGACCAGGTCCACCCAGTAGTAATAAAATATACTACGAACCTATATTCACGCTGTTTTACGGTACATTGGTATTATTTTATAAATCAATAACAATTAATAGCTGGTAACATTATATAATATGAAATGATCTATTATAAAATAATTAATTAATAATGAATATTATACATAATTTGTTTTTATAAAAATTAATTCAACTCACAGTATCAATAAAGGAAAAAAAATTAAAAAATTTACTATAGTTTATAAGTACCATATAAGTACATATAAGTATACCTAATATAGGCTGACTGGAATACTATCAGAATAGTTTTTTTGTTATGATTTCTCGTTGTATTCAAATTTAACATATAATATATTATAATGACTTACTTAATGACGAGCTACACTTGACATCTATTGACTACTGTATAGCAAAGCGGTCACCTACTTTTTAAGCTATTTTTAAAATAAATTAACTATTTCGCTCAATCATAAGTTTTTCTTCAATAATCTTGAAAAAACATTTTTTTAAATATAATTAGATACCTACATTTTAATTTTTGTAAGTATATATATTAATAATATACTTTTTTTAGGATATGTAACTTTGATAGTTTTATGCATTTTATGTTTTCATTACCAATGCAATGATGTGATTATTAAACTAAAAATATAGTAAGAAATATTTTTTTTACTTGTGGTTTTTAAATTAATCGTCTTGTACATTAGTGGTAACATAACATAATATATATAGGTTTTCTAAGCATTAAATATATAGTACCTATATAGACATATAATTAATGTGAAGTAATAATAATAGTATTAGGTAACAAAGATTACAGGTAATAAATTTTACAATTACTACCTAATAAAAATAACAGTTTAAAATTAAAATAATTTAATTTAAAAATGGGCAAGTAGGTAAACGCTTTAATGTACAGTAAGTGTTGAGTGTACCTCGTCATCAAATGATTTAGTATAATTTATGTATTATATTTTAATTCAATAATAAATCATTCCTTATGAAATCAATTCTGAAGAAAAACTGCCAGCCTAGAATACTAAAAATATTTTATGATATATTTATACCTACTGTTATAATAGTAATTTATTCTACTATTAATAATACAACAGGTTGAATTCATTTTTTTCAAAAAAACTGTATTTATTGAATTATTAATATTTAATTATCATATTAATTAATAATATATAATACAGTAAATTTAATTTTTAATATGATATATTATTGTTATTAATTGTTGAGTCTATAGTTCTTTACCACCTTATCGTACTATTGTACGAGAACAGCGAGAATTTAGGTTCGTAGTTTAAATATCATATCTTAAAATTAATTTAAATGTTTTGAAAATGTCATTGTGAATTTCAAATATTTAATATTTATATTTTTCGCAAATATTTATTTTTTTATCATTGTTGAATAGGTATAATATGGTTAAATAATTTTTGGTGGAATAACGATCGTTAACTTGTATTTAATACTTAATCAATGTATTCTATGGAAATAAAAAGAAAAAAAACAGATAAGTACTTAGCTGAAAATCTAGATTTCTTGGCTTTATAAAACTTAAATAGAAGGCTAGAATACATATTATGTTGTGACTTGTGACTATTAAAAGGTTATATAGGAGGTATCTATTGATAAAAATATGCAAATTTTTCCTTGACTGTCAACCCGTACGTTTTAAAAATATCAAGATGAGTGGAAAGACAGTTTATTTATATAATAACAGATGTATCCAGTAGCGTGTTCACTGTTCAGCTATATCAAATACTTAGGTCATAATTGGAAATATTGAACTACTTAAAATATAAATATTATTTTTTAATTTTTAATTTAAAATTCATAAATTATGTAATATGCATAATAAAATAAACGTATGAACAATAATTATAGATAAGCTCTTTCGAGCTATACCTACACTCACACTACTTCAGTTGATTTGTATAGGGACTCATAATGTAATATTATCACTGATGTACTATAGACGTATCGACTATTCATATAAATGTAGTGAGTTCTAACACGTTCTGCATCGTGTGGTTTTACTTTTAAATTCCTAGTTATGTAGCTATATGCCAAACAAATTACTGAAATACATGCTGGTTGTTATTATTAATAATTAGAGACCTTCGTATTTGGTTTCCCAAATATATATTTCACTCCCACTTTTCACAAACGTTTTCCTTTTACAGTTGAAAATATAATATTAATGGTTTCCGAAGAAGGTCAACTGACTTTTCACGGAAGATAATTGAGTAGACAATAGTTTTGGTTATGTAATAGCACATAGGTTTATTTTTTTTTCTATTATTTTTAGAATGCTCGCGGGTTATAATGTACAATATATGATATAGTTTATAAGCAATATTGTTATTTTGTGTACCATTGTAATAATATTATATCAGTAATAATATATAATAGAGGTATGGATATCAATAATATATATTAGTTTATTACTTTCAAAAAATAAATAAATCATTATACTATTGAATGTATAAATGTTTCTTTTTTTTTTTATATATAATTAATAAAACTAATATATTTACAATATATAGTTAAATAATATTTTAATGAAGTATTATAATTAGAAAATATTTATTGCATGGATACATATGTTAGAGAAAACTACTCTTAGTCCTTAGTAGCATCTCTGAGTATAAATGTTAAAAATATAAAGAACAAAATAACTAAATAACATAGGTAGTTTTATAGTTATCTATAGACTACTATAGTACTATAAAATTAACAAAATATGTTTGAATTTATTATATTTGAGCTATACTCATTACACAGTGATGAACTATTAAAAATATTTATGGAAATATGATTTTTTTAAAACTAAAAACTTTATTGTAGAAGACTAACAATTTTATCGGTTTCTCTTAAAATTAATATCATATCTGAAGCCTAATTATACAAGTATAGTTTTATTCTTAAACAAAGTTATTTTTGGATATTTCTTGAAGTAATTATAAAAAAAAAATATGAAAATTGCATGTTACAAATAAAATTTACAGATAATTCGAAATTAGCTATATTAAGACTACTTAATGTTAAGACATCTACTTTTAAATATTCGCACAATATTATTTGAAAGTTTGAAAGAGTATATTATAGTTTATAATTATAACCAATGATCATATTAGATATATTATATATATTATTTATATGATTATTAGTATATTTTTTAAATGGTTACAAATTAATAGTCGGTAGACGGTAATTATCAAATTTATGGATTTTCAACTTTGGTTTGGTAATTTATTCTTAAAATATTTGTTGATAATCATCTGTTATCTAAATATCTAGTAAGTATCACCTGAGAATTTACGGCTAAGCCTATCCTTCCTAAGCATATAAAAATCAATTAAAAGATACTTTAATTTCTTTATAAATTAAAGAGTATTAGACTAAGAAAATCCTTAAATCTCGTAATAACTCGGTGAAATAATTTGTAAAATAATATTATTGGACTATACTATTTTTATAATAAATTTAATGTAAAAACGTAGATAATACGTTAACATAATATTATACAAGAGGAGAAACGTGAAATAAATGTACTTTATAGAGCTTATGCAATGATTTGAGAAAAAAAATATTTTTATCTTATAAATGTTATTTTCAATGTATTGCATTCTCTTTTTTATTTTAAAACACTTAAAGATTTCTACTTAATTATAAGGCTTACTCGAAACATATAGGTACTTACTATAACGTAAGACAACTCCTCCGTTTTAAAAATAAAAAATATTTTTCAAAGTAATCTTTTTATGTAGGTTACTTAGACTATTAGTATGATGTAAATATATATAATTTCAAAAAATTCCATTAATCTAATTTTCATCACCAGTCAAATTATTTTCCACAATAGTCAATAGATACCTTGAAAATAATTATTGTCACTGTTTATTATTTTCGAATTCTTTGTTAGTACTACCTGGACAATATATGCGGGTTACTTGTTTTATACATTTTTAAAATGAAAATTAGTCAAGGTTAAATAAAGTTAATCAAATTTATAACAAATAGAAATAGAAGATATAATAAAATTATTTTATTTTTTAAATCGTTATTCAAATTATTTGTAATTGAATTATATTTATATCTATTGTGCATATAGATAAATTTTTTAATGAATGATTAGCTACGTATTAAAATTAATTATTTTTTTAATTTAAAAAAATATACATATCTATGTAAATATTTCGAATACAAATCTATTATTTTTAAAATGATTTCAAAATTAAGCCATTTAAATTTTGTTTTTTTGTCACATATTTACTACTTATAATATATTCTATAAATAATACGCATTTTATATGTTTCAGACCAAATTATGATAGTTATCTGACTTTCTAATTAATTAATATGTGTATCTCTTGTATAAGGTATGTAATGTATATAATATGTTACATTAGTACAGTATAATATTATACTGTGTGCAGATACTGTGTAGTATCTCGTTATATTACTTTCCCTGTTTGTATAGTTATTATTTATTATTGTATTTAATATTTTAATATAAATGCCTATAAATAAAATATAATTGTATGCATAGATTATACAGATATATTTACTGCAGATGTCTTGAAAGGCTCTTAATTTATTTTAGAGTCATACATAATAAATCATTATAAAATCTGGGTAGACCACATTGTTTCTTACTTTTATATTTTTATACATTTAAACATTTTACCTTGATAACTTATCAATGTTACGGTAAATATTAAAATCAATATTGAATATAATTTATATAATTATTTATGTACTTAACAAAAATAATAAACTATACGACACTGTGGTACATAAGAAGTACATTACCGCTTTTAAATAAGATGATAATTGATAAGTATAATAATAATCATGCATGTCAATTAAAATGTATTACCATTCAGACTCACAGTATATAATTTAGTTGAGAAATATATTGCGCAATGGTTATTGAGCGATATTGTTTCTTTACCAATAATTTATTATACTATAGTATATAGTTTATAGTTTTAAATATGAACTAATATAGATATAGGTTTTTTTTATTTTATCGTATAATAATTACTTTATAGTTATTACTAGGGAGCGGACTTTATTGTAATAAAAAAATCAAAATATGTAAAATAAAAATTAAAAATATATAAATATCGAAAAAGTGTATTAGTATTGAAAATTACAAAAAATAAATAAATATTTTATAAATAAAAGTAATACAAACGAAGTAAATGTATAAAACTATAAGTATTATTTTGGAACAAAGCAATGATAAATATAATATAACATATTGTTGAAGGTTTGCAAATGAAAAATGGCGTAGATTTAGTCGGAGAATACTCTTGTCTTGACTAAAAGAACGATCTACGTCAACAGATAGGGGCATAATTCATGTTTACTATTACAGAAGGAGTGAAATTCAATGTTCAGAGATCTTTGTTGATTTTTACTAATTAAAATATCTCTGATGAGTTGAATAGTTTGAAATCCAGAATTTTTTTCAATTATATCGGCAAATTTATTTTTGACTATTTCTCCCATATGCCCTTGAGTTTTTTCTAATTTATCTACAGACTTTTCTACAATGCTAATGCTTTTTAACAAAGACATATTTTGAGTTTATAATTGTTTAATTGTCCGAATCAAAAAATAAAAATTTGCAGAAATGTATGTCAAGATGTTTTTTAAATTAATATTTTGCATCAGTGAATTTGCTTTTTCAATAGCTGCGGCTGATTTAGTATCGAAATGCCATTTAGATAACGTATAATATTTAGTGGTCGTCAAAAATTACTAATCTTGTTAATTTAGACGAACAGATAATGTTCAAGATCTTCGAAAATTAATGAAAAAATCAAAAATTACTAAAATATGTACTTATTTACCAAATATGTAAAAATATGTAAAATAAATTTGAGTTTATTTTAATTAGAATGATCTAAATCGTACACATTTATTATCAGATATAAAATATCTCATTCCAATAAAAATACGTATTTACAATAAAATCCGTTTCCTAGTTATTACTTATTACTATCACACTGAACGAAAAATTGAAAAGTTAATGCTTTGATAAAAATATTTTTAATTCAAATAAAATAATTTTTTTATAACAAATATTTAATAAAAATTTGAAAACTTTGAATCATTAAATATGAAAGAGGTTTTTACGTTCAGTGCAACAATGAAGTAAGTACAAATGAAAAATAAATTGAAGAGTAGTGTTGTAAATAATATAAATTAGAGAAGTATTTATAACAAAATAATTAAAAACGAAAATTGAATATTATGTAACCACTGTGACATTTTTTGTTGTTTTATAAAGCCATTCATTGTTTAACTAGATTAAAAAAATATAAATTGAATGTCAAGACTAGTATAAAACGCAAATACCTAATACATGACCCACATACAAGATACAAATAAAATGTGTTACCTATCATCCTATCTAATATATTGTAGCATATGTGCATGTACATCGTACATTAAATAATATTGTTATAATATTTTAAACATTATAAACCGCAATGATTATATTGTAATAATAAAAGTAATACAATATAAACATTTTATATTTTTGTACAGTCATACTCAGATTATAATATATTGAAATGTTCAACTTACATTATTGTTTGCAACATCATGGCAATCCAGACTTTCGTGCGAGTCATAAGTCAACGTGTACAAGTCCATTACAAATCTTGAGTCTTTTTTATAGTGCCTTTGATCATAACGAAAATTAGTCGGATTCATAGACCACGGATTTACAAGCATACTTGTAGCCATTTTTAATAAAGATTTTTTTATTTAAAATAAACTATTTAAATGTACAAAATAAAACTTAATATTTATAAACGTATGCAAATACAAACAATTTGAAATAAACAAAACGTTGTTGAAAGTCTTGACGTTACGATTACTTGTATCATACTAATATATGTTTAGAATGAACCACTAGCGATACATTAAATGTGGTAAAGTGAAAGTGCGAATAAAAAAAAAAAAAATAACCAGAACTAATCAAAATGTCCTTCTAGAATACTATTGCGACTAGTCGTAGTCTACATTCTCAATCAGTGATAAACATTTAATTAACGGAGAAGGAGTAAATAAACCCATAATAAATAATAAATCATTTTTACTCACAAGTAATAAATAGATAGGTTCTTATTGAAATAAAATTATGATTGAATACGTTGATTACGGTGAAACATATATTTACTAATGTTATAGACGTTATAGTAATATAATTACTTAAACAGTTGGCTCTACCACTTAGTTCTAATAGGTAAGTATATCCACAAATCCACAATCAATGATTTAATGGCTTCTTGTAAGTTATAATTAGTATCTAATCAATAGGTATAAGTATGTTCAGTATAATAACTATTATAATAACTATTATACATTTATTATTTAAATAATAATTTTTATTATTTACATAATTTCATGATTCTGACAATTTTTCTAAAAATTTAAAACTTAAACGCTTATAATAAAAAAAATTTTGATTTTATGTACTTACCTTACCTATATTCGATATTTTTAATAGTTGTAAGAATAACAATTTATAATGAATGTTTAAGTCTTAAATATTAAAATTAAAATTTGTTTGAATTTATTCAACGTTATAAATTTTTAATTACAAAATATTTAGCAATTTTAATAATATCACTAATTTAGTTAAAATTTTAATTTAAAAAATAAGTATAAAAAAATTACATCCATGTACCTATTTTTAATATTTTTAAACGGCTAAAACAAAAACTTGTGTAAGAAATTTTCTATTAAATTTTCAAATTGTTTGACGCAATGACCTATATATTAAATATCTACTTTTGTTTAAATTTTAACTTTTAATGTCTAAAAAATAATCATGTTTATATATTTCTTAGAAATTTTGATTTTAGCGCTTATAACTTATAAGAAATATTGTTTTTAATTTTCAAAGCTTACCTAGGTATGTAGAAATTGAAGATTTTATGATTTTTTTTGTACAAAAAACTTTTAGTTTATAAGTTTTCATAATTTTAACGAATTTTATAAGAAAATTAAATTAAAATGCATAAATCACATTGTGCCTATGTAATTTTAATATTTATTTGTAGATAGAAAAAGTTATGTGAGATTTGGTGTTAAATTTTCAAGAAATTTAGTCTAACGAATATTTTTTATCGATATTTATAGAAAAAAAAAACGAAAAAAAAAATCAAAATTTTAACATGTTCATAAATAGCTCAAGATTTAAAATATTTTGAAGATTATACCTATTATGTATATAATTAAAATATTTATTAAAAATTCTAAGTATCTATATGACTATATGGTTATTAATTTTTATTTAAACAAAATAACAAACATCATTTAAGGACAAAAATGATTATTATAAATTGAATATTTTTTTTTTTAAAAGTCAAAAAACTTATAAAGAACTTTTAACCTTAAGTATGAATTTTTAATTGCAGCAAATTAAATTGCTAATATTCCCAACATCGGCGAAATTTTTTTTAAATTCTGATTTCAAACGCTTATAAGGATTATGTGTAAATTTACGCTAAATGTTTTTTAAAACTTATGTTAATAACAACTTATGAGAAAGTGTATGTAAATAATCATAGTTTTTGCCAAACAAAATATTTTTTATTAACAATTAAAAAAAAAAAATTAAACAAGAAAATCGAATCAAAAATGTCTATATCGTCTATAATCACTTCGAAAATAATCAAAATATTTTGACTTTTAAACTTTTTATTATTAGGTAAGTACCTAACCTATATTAGCAATTTATTATCGTATGCTTACAGATTACTATTAAATTTTAATAATCATAAAGAATAGTGATTTAATTTTTCATTAGCGAATTTGAAAATAAGTGGAATAAAATAAATAAATAGACTATTATAGATACAAGAATATTTTCACGGTCTGTCAGCCCTCTAATAATGTACTCACGGTTCTTATGGTACGCTCCAGTTTTTTAAGTATTGGTATGTACTGTATTATGATGTATGACAGACGTTTCCATACTTTTCACGGTACGACTCATTTAGGAAAATGTCTACATTTTTTTTTGACAATTGACGACCCACAATACATGAATGGTCTTTTTTTTTGTTTCATTGTTGATCACTAACTTAGTGATAACTTTTAGTCTGACAATGTCATAGCGGTGACACGTTAACGCGTCACTGGTACATTTGCAATCGCCGCGGATAATAATCGTTTACAAAACTGAATTTGAGCTTCCAAACATTTATGTAGTTGCACGAAAAATACTGTGTCACATTGGCTATTAATTTGGATTATACTCGTATGCATGCATAAAATATATTTTAACTTTTATACATGATGTATAATAATATATATATATATATATGTATATTTCAAACCAGTTATCTTATATTAAATATTTTATGTTATGGAAAAATATATATAAATATTTCAAAAATCAAAACAACTCGCTTATTACAAAAAGTACTTTTAGGTCGCGAAATTCGTGACCCACAATTTGGGAACCTTTGATCCAAGAAGAAAGCATCTATATTATACATTGTTACTATTTACATAGATAGTATATTATCTACAGCCGTTGTCGTGATTATATTATTGTCAGATGGCATTATATTATCATTTATGATCGACTCTAAAGCAGATTAGCAGATGTTATATACGGGCACACAGCTCGTAAACATTACAGATTTTTCTGGTTTATATAAATATTAAATAATAAATATCAAATATACCCAATCTCTCATGCTCCATAAACAAATATTATACTGTCGCCGTGTTAATTGTACTGCGTGTTACTGTACTATAGTCTGAAGAAAACAATTAATTGTGTATAAAATATTAGCATTTATTGTTCAACTCCGTAGAGTTGTTTGTATTTTAATCAAGTGTACTTTTGATTACACAGAGGTCAATTTTCTTACTTTTAACGTTGTATCTCTAGCGTGTTTTTACTTTTTAAATAACATTTAGTTTTCAAGTCAATTGTTCATCATGGAACACAATAATGCAAAAAGCATAATATTTTATAACGGACCATCTGAAAAATCCTCTTGTGGTTACTGTAAGAAAGATAATTCTATGTATAGTAATGGTAAGTATAATATATTATTATACATACTTACTTGGCATCTGGCCTTAAATATGTATTTGTTAATTTATATAATATGATTGATTGTTAGGAATGTGGGCTTCTAGTCTTACAGTAGAAGCATATCAAGATATGATTGATCGTGGATGGCGACGCGCTGGCAAGTATTGTTATAAATCAATCATGGACAAGACTTGTTGTCCACTTTACACTATCAGGTAATATCTGTGATGTTTGGAAATTGGTTTGACAAATGTAGTTATTAAAATTTTTTTTTTAGACTATTTGTGGATATTACTTTTTATTTAATTGTTTTTATCAAATTAATTATATGACAAAAATAGTTAAAACTTTAAGATATGCATTCTAAAAAAAAATTTTCTCTTCTGAAAAATCTATCTTAATATTAAGTTTGTTTGTGACTAAATATTATGTTATTTTATAAAATAGATGTGAAGCTTTAAATTTTGAGATATCAAAATCACAGAAAAAAATCATTAAAAGAGTATCTTCATTTTTAAAAAATGGAGAATGTGAAAAATGCCAAGTTAATACTAAACAAGCTGAAAGAGAACCCTTTATGAAGTATGAAATGCAAGGTAATTTTTTTGTTTTCCTTTCTTTTTTTTTAAATTTAGATCAAGACACTATTGCATTAGATGTATTCTAGATACTTTTACATATTTATACCTAATTATCTTAAATTCATATTATTAATTTATTAGTAAATTTGTTTTACATTATTATGTTCTAGTTGTGGCTTTATTTAACAAGGTTTAATATACATAAATATTTTTTAATTTTTTTATAGATGTACAAAATCATGATGATAAAATGAAAATTACTAATACTGATTATTTGTTTGATGAAGAACAACAAAGTACCTCTGTTATTGGTTCACATGATAGTACTTTAGTTGTTACAAATAAAGGTAATTTAAATTAAAAATCTTATTAAGAGAATGCTACTCAGACATTTGTTGTTTTTGTCTTACAAGAGCATAACATCGACAGTTTACATTCAGCAGATTAAGTTTAGCTTCGTTAGCTTAAAAATTAGAGTAAATCGACCTATAATGAAACTTGATAGTAAGAACATTTTTAGTGTTTGTATGTGGGTTTTTATGATAATTCAATTTTTTAAATGAGTTATGATTATTTTTAATTTACTATATTTTATATACGCAAAACTCACTAAAAAATTGAACTATTGTAAAATACCCTCACACAAACACGGATAATCTTCTTACCATCAAGTTTTATTATAGGTAAATTCACTCTAATTTTTAAACTAATGAAGCTAAACCTAATCTACTGATCGTAAATATGCTATGTTATGCACTTGTAAGACAGAGACAATGAATGTCTGTGTAGCGTCCTCCTAAACTTACCAACTATGTTAAATGATATATTTATTTATAGCTATTTACTAATATGTAGTCCACCAAAAAAATATGCTATTCATCAGTCATTTGTGTATAGATGAATTTTTTTTTACATGCTGATTAAGTAGTTTGGCACTTTTTACACCTGAAAAGTTCTGGTACTTTTTCTCGATTATTTCTTTGTAGTTTTTCTTGACTACCAAATGTTTGCATATAATTTTGTATTTAAGTATAGGTTCATTAGTCAAAGAAATGCTATAAAATTATTTTACAAGCATTTTAAAAAGTTGCTTATTATATACTATTTTCTAGTCTTTACATCAAAAATAACATTAAATCATCTAAACTATTATTATGCTAGCAGTACACTCTTGTCTTAACTCACCTTACCACCACTCACTTATAATCGGAATTATAGATTACCTTCATTTATATTGAATTTTTGATGATAGACACTGAGAAATACAAAAATAAAATGTATACATTGGTTTAAATATTTAAAATGATAAATAATACAATAATACAATGGTGTTAAAATGTATCCTATCTACAATAGAATTTTAAAATCAGTATACTGCATGCTATACACATAATTATAATTAAGTATTAAATAAAACAACAATGGATAGCATATTGAGAAACAGCCTTATATATTATATGTATGATAATTGATGATAATTTTTCAAAATTTTTTAATTCACAGAAGATAGCGAACAAGTTGTATCTCTTAATTCAAATCATAACTCTGAAACTCAGAAAGAAATTAAAAAAGTTAAACCTGGTATAGTTTTTACTTCATTTTTTACCTAAATTACTATTAATAATATTAATAAAATATTTAATTATGAAAGGTAAAGGGGCTGATCCAAATTTACCAAGTCCAAAAAAAAAAAAGTTTTTACGCATTCAAAAAAAACTAGCCAAGGATCCAAGTTTTGTACCCACAATTACACCTCCTCAGCAAAAATCTTTAGAAGAATTTATTGCTGAGAACGATTTAGTATCTACTAAGGAAGATAAAAAGTTAAAAGTAAGTAGCCATGTCAATAGTAATAAGTTGGTTTAGAAAATATTTTGTAGTTTAACAACAAATTTATATCAATGTTAATTTAATTTATACTTTTTATGTTTTAATGAATATTTAATAAGTATGGCCTTGAATACAATTTTTTTCTAGGTGCCTTATAGCAATGATATATTTAACTAATTGATTTTAACTTAATTTCTTCACTAAATAATTAATAACAGGTTAATCATTATCCAGAAATGAAACTTGTTAAATAATACATTTTATAATACTTAGAAGTTTTTTTATTTTTTATATTAAATTAACATATGTATTACCTACTTTTAACTCATGCATATTTTGTTTTACCATATTATACTTATATATTTTATTTTTTATTATGTAAAACATTTAAATCCATTTTCTTTGTATATTTTTATTTATTAATTGATTATTTACTCCTCTTTGATCACAATTAGTTTGGGTGATTAACGCTCTATTGTATTTTATAAATTTCTAGTAATTTTTTATTTATTACATTGAATGTTGTTGAAATAATGTGAGGTTGCATCGGCTTTATCTTAATATCATTGATTAATACTGCATAATACCTGTTTATATTTTACTAATAGTATTACTTCTATAGGCTTGCTAATTTATCATTTTTTATATAAGTTTAGGGTACTTATTTTTGTCTCTGTATAATATGTATGTATTATTACCTGATCCATTAATGGATGGATTGTTTAATTTAAAATGCTACTAAAATTAATTATGCACTAATAAACAATATAAATTAATACATTTTGATTTTACCTACATTTTTTTTTTCTTAAAAACACAAGTACTAAATCATAAGATGTTATAATTTATGAAAGAAAAAAAATAGGTACTTACGTTAACATATTTTTAATATACTTGTACAGTAGAACCTCGATTATCCGTGATTCGATTATCTGTATTTGCGATTAACCGTGCCCACTCTTCAGAAAATTTTTATACATAATACTCGATATCGACAATCGTATTAATGACATTTTTGACGATAATAATATGAAGATAAGCAATATTGTACATCGATTATTATATTTATTATATTTCTAATTATAATTGAATCAAAATTTTTAAAATTTCATTATTATGAAATTGTACCTATGTTTTTCTAATTATAAATTATAATTAAATAAAAAATGTTATTATTATAAAAAGTCTTGATTAACCATGATTTTCATTTATCCGTGTGACCGTCTCCCCATCATTACCCCGGATAATCGAGGTTCTACTGTATTTAAAAAATTTTTTTTTAACTATTCATTTGCTGATAATTCATATTATTGTGTAATAAATAAATATTATTTAATAAGTGTGTTGTAAATTATGGATGCAAAGTAAAATAGTAAATAAAAACTTAAATTTTTCATTACAGATAGGATTGTCTAAATTTTTTGTAAAATACAAAACACTGTTATAATTTTATTGCCTTTGTGTAGATTTGATCTTTTAAATATTTTGTAATTGTTTCTTAAAGTAATAATAATATAAATTTTAAATCTATCAATTATTATTCGACTATAGTTTATTAATTATTTAAATACTTGAATCATTATTAAGATTTATATGAAATAAATAGTTATATTGTACATTTTATAAATAAAATTATTAATTAAATCAACAATTATCACATAAATTGCAATATCATATTAAATTATTGAATAGTGGATAAAAAATATTTAAAAGGTAGTAAATACATACACATGTACACATAAATTAATTAAATTTAGTTAAATAAAAACTAATTTATATATCAATTAAGAATAATATAAGAAAAAAGATCTTAAAAAGGTTAAATTATAATTAAAGTAATCAATGATAAAAAAAAAAAAATGTATTGAAATTATTTTTAAATTTGTAATTTATTTTATTTTATTAATTTTATATATGAAAAATAAAAATAATTTTGATTTATAGATAAATCATAAATTAGTATCTGTCTAGTTCATCTCATACAAATTAAGATTAGCAATTAAATAAAAACAAAAATTAATTTTAGATAAAATTATTAACGATGAGATCTACGAGCAATTCTTTTGAAGATGAGTATGCCGTATACCAATTATATCAAACTGTTATACATGGTGATAAAATTGAACGCTGTTCAAGAGAACAATTTATTCGATTTCTAGTCGATTCACCTCTTAAAGTAAGCTTTTATTCCCTAACTTATTAAAAAAATTTTTGTATGTAAGGTGTCCTTGGTCAAGACCGGCACAGAAGCATTTTCTCGAACTTTCACTGCTGGAGCTACCCTATTTGCCAAATATCAAATAACTGTGCACAACGACAAACCAGATGACTGTGATATGGAACAATACTTATCATTTCTTGTTGATTCACCTTTAAAGGTATCATTAATTTCCTAGGACATAAATATCATGCCATGTGTAATGCTCAATTGTTTTTAATTTTGTCGGTCTGATCGATCCACCAATTTGATGATAAATGTTTTTAATTTGTCATAATCAGTGAATAAATAATATTTATTTTATTTTTAGGAGCAAAAATCAAGTCATCCTGATCATCCAGGATATGGTTCATTTCATCAACAATACTGGCTTGGTGATAAACTAATAGCTGTTGGAGTATTAGATATTTTACCAAAGTGTGTATCATCTGTATATTTATTTTACGATCCAGACTATCATCATATGGTGTTGGGAACTTACAGTTCTTTAAGGTAAATTGCTCATAATAAAATATTACTTATAAATTGTATTTCATTAACTCTGAGAATGTTTTAGGGAAATATGTTTAGTGAGACAATTGCACAACATGTCACCCGATTTGAAGTATTACTACATGGGCTATTATATACATACATGCCCAAAAATGCGCTACAAGGCAAAAATTCGACCATCTTATCTATTATGCCCGCTTAAATACACTTGGCATGCAATCGATAAATGTATTCCAAAACTTGAGAATAAAATCTATTCAATATTCGATGAGTCTGATGATTCTCAAGAAGATGATATTTTCCCAATAGATAATGTAAATAATTAATGAAACTAACAGTTTACGTACATTAATCTTATGTGATAATTTTTTGATTTACAGATTTTAATACTATATCGTGGTTCATTGATGCCTTATTCAGCATACAAAAAATATGGATCTAAGAAACATCAAGATGAACATATTAATGAATATAAAACATTAATTGGACCTAAACTGGTACGACAATTAATTTACTGCATTATGGATTAATTATCAATATCTGCTGATTATAACATATCGATCTGAAATTTTTTTATAACTTATAAATATTGGTTGTATCAAAATGTATATTATATTTCTTTTTTATTGTCTTTATTTTAAAATTAACATTTATATATATATATATATATAATTATCAATCATACAAATGTGAAAAGAGTATAATTATTTAAAACCATAGTTTTTTTATAATTTTTTTATCTTGTAAGAATGTATTTTGAATAACTTAAGAATTTCTGAGGATAATGTATCTGTTTTAACTAAGTAATAAGTAAAAAATATTGTTTATTCAAAGCTCTTTTGTTGTAAACAGCAGTTAGCAAATATAATTACTTATCAATGATAAGTTATCATATATATTATTTTATACATATTGTTTGTATTGAAGTATTATCTATGTAAAAGTATATTAAATAATATAATTAAAATTACAACACATTTTTATTTATTCTTAAACAATATTTTATTAATTGTATCGATTACAATCAATGATATCCTAATTTAATGTTGTAATAATTTTGTTCAATTTGTATTAATTGTGTTAGTCACTTTTTTTTTCAAGTATTCGAGTATAAATATTATTTTATTATACTGAATACTTACCATTAAATAATTTTTTTGACTGTCAATTATAAATGATTGGAACTATATAATTACATTTTTATTGCTGGTAAATGATTATTACAAAAACCAGTCTTGTTTTTTTTTGAAATAATAAATAATACAATATAGGTAGATAAAATACAGTTTGTAAGGGCTAATATTATAAGAATAATTACTGTCCTTTTTGTATAAAACAGTGCATCTTTGGTGCAAGTCTTTAATGTTGGCGATGTAAACTTTAACAAAAAAACTAATACAACAGCTAATAATTTAAAAAAAAAAAAACTTTTTTTAAATTTAATAAACCTTTACATGACACAATTATTAGATTATAATTTTATATAATTTTCATAAATAAAATGTATTCAGATTATTTTTAATTAGTGTTTGAATTTGAATATTAGTTTTAATATTATAGATAAAAATTAAGTGTAATAATTAGTTGGCGGATTATACAACCTACAGCTGATGTTTACGTTATTACAAATCCAATTAATAATTATTTTTAACTACTACCTAATAACTATTGTTAAAATAATTTAAATCTAGTAGTTAAAAACAATAAACAGCTTTACAGGTTTAGAATAAGAAAAAATGTGATAAAAAATTTGTATATATAATTTACTAACATATTATATTATTATACATATAAAAATTGTAATCAAAATTTGTAACAAATAATTTTTAAGTATTTGAGTAATAAAACTTGCTTTAATAATACAATTTATTTTATCTACTTGAATATTTTACAAAAATAAGGTTTTTTTGAAGTAATCAACAATATAAAATAAAAACATCACATTTAATCAAACTAAATTTGGATGGTACACCTACTGGTTGTCGTTATTTTTAAATATACCGTAAGATACAATTCTTGGTAGAGCAATTTTTATCGATTCGTGTAAAAAATTACATTTAAAAAATAAATTTACTGAATTTAGTGATAATAATCAAATTGAATTATAGTTTTGAAAATGTTGGCTTTTTACCCTTTGTAGCAATAGCCATTGATGCTTTGATAAAATCTTCACTTTGTAATAATATTTGATTCCAGTCTCCCTGTAAATTAAATACATTTTTTTTTTTAATTTTTGTTGTATGTAAAACATTTAAAGTATTAACATAAATATATGTTATAACTGGTATACCTTATTTTAAAACAAGTTATTGAAAACCATAAGATTAATAAAATTATTTCATTGATTAATTTGAACTATTTAAGCTTAGTAATAAAATTGAATTTACAAATATCATAAGATATTATTATTTCTTGATCAAGATGTAATAATATTATTTATTATTTAAAATAAGTTAATGTATTTATAAAAGTTTAATAAACAGCTAAATAATAAGTAATTTTAAACTATTTGACATAGAAAAGGTTGTAAAACAATTACTTAATTGTTTTAGCTTATATTAAGATACTAAACAGCTAGAACAATAATACACTACTTATTATTCATTTTTAACTTACAATATGATCCAATCCTTCTTGAACAGTATGATCTCGTGAATATATTATACTTCTTTTAGTCATTTGGACTCCTACAGGACTTTTGCTGGCTATGTCTGAAGCAATATTCATAACATTTTCTAACATACTGAAAAAAATGTATAATTATATAAGTAAAAATATGATTATCATTTATTAACTGATATTTATATTTATAACAAATATAAAAATAAATCATTTGTTTTCTTTAACAACAACAAACTTTTAAATTTCTTTTAAAGACTAGTATTTAATACGCATAGATACCATTATCAAATTTACCTTTCTTTGGTGTCATATACTTGGGTTACAAAACCAATATTTTTGGCTTCTAAAGAATGAAATTTACGTGCAGTAAATGCTAATTCATTGAATGTACTCATACTTCCAATAATTTTTGGCATCCTCTGCAATGTACCAACATCTGCTGCCATTCCTATTTAAATAAATATGAAAAGGCATTAATTTAGCTATATCTTAAAGTCTCAACTTAAAATTTGTATTAAACCTTACTTCAAAAATGTTATTAATTAAAAAACAAAATATTAATAATAATTAAATTATAACATAATATTTCAAGGTTCAACAAACCAATTTCAGTTTCTTTGAGTTGAAACCAAGCATCTTCTGTGCAATAACGTATATCTGCTGCTGAAACTAGATCAACTCCACCGCCAATACATCCATTATGAATCGCAGTCAATATAGGTTTATCACACTGTCAAATAAATTACAATATGTTTATTTAAAATTTGAATATTGACTAGTAATAATAGTATTAAATAGATAAATATTCAATATTAAGTTCATAAATGTTAAAATTTAATAAATAAGTTTTTTATATATTTAATTTTTGATGGTGTTTTTGAAAATAGTTATGTTAATAATACTTTTTCAAGAGCAGTGAGACAATCTTGATAAGTTTTAATAAAACACCGTAAAACTTTTGATTTTCTTGCAATGTCATCATGATTTGCAACTTCTTGGCCAAGATTCATAAGATCAAATAAATCAATTCCTATTGGAAAAAAATAAAATATGTATAATGTATAATGATTATGATATACACTCTTAATACAATGAAAATTTGTCATATTATAGAATACTATTATAAACACAGGTAAATTATTTTTAACAAAACATAATTATTACAGTTATTAATTAAAATTTCAATAAAATAATTAACTCGATCCATTTAAAGAACACACTGCTTCTGTACATCCTCACGCGACATTGCTTTTACTGTAGTAGAATATGTGTGTGTGAGGATGCGCAGAAGAACCAATTTTAGTCATGTTGGAATGTGTTCTCTTGCCGGTCAAAGTATAGTCTGATATTTAATTACATTATTAGTATACAACATAATATTTAAATTATACCTGAAGTGAAATATTTTCCATTGGCGGAAAGAACAACTACTCGACAGTCTGTGTTCTCGTTAAGTTCATTAAAACATTTTCCTATTTCCCTGAAAATAATTTTATAAAATTGGTTATATGGTATGTTTTACTTGTTCTTTACATTATTATTATTTTACCAAAGTTCAAGATCACAAATCATTTGTATTATTATATAGTATGTACCTGTGTATTAGTTCTCTACACTGATTGAAAAGTACATGAAATTATAGAGATTATTAAAAACTATTAGTTGATCTGAAGTTAATATTTTACATTATCTAGATTGTTTACCTAGTCATTATATTTAAGATTATATATCTAAAATAAATTACAGCTAAATTGGTGTTGTAAAATAGATCTAGGTAATGGCTATCAGAATCAGACTTTCAGAAATTAATAATTAAATTCACATAACTTCAGCATAATTAGCATGCATAGGGGATCTTAACATGGAGGAGATACTACAATAGCTAGGGGATCCTGGGATATAGGCACTTCCTGAATTTTTCTAATATATGGCCCTAAGATGAGTCAACAATTTTTGTAATTTTCACATAAAATGATGGATATGGTTGTATTGAACCATATTTTATATTTATTTATATAATTAAAGGTTAAAACAGAAATATCATAACAGTTTTCAGCGACCTTTTGAAAAATGATAAAAATGTTTCAATGTTTAAATTGTATTACTAGGTTTGAATGTTTGATTGGTTTGAGGTTGCAATATATTTTAATACTGTAGTACAACCATTATTTTTACAGAACAAATCAATAACCATTGCTGATACTTTCTTATCATTAGAAAATATAAAATCATTTATATTTGTATAATATTATTCTAGTACAGTGGATTCGGCCTAATGTGGGTACTGGTTAATATGGGCATCTGCTTAATATGGACAAAATGGTCTAGTCTCAATTCCAATGCATATCAACAAGGTTAAAAAGAATCGCATAATATGGGCACTTGGTTTAGTTTATGTGGACAATTTTTATTTTATTATAGCGTTAGAATATACACAAGAAGGTAACGAGGGTAGTCCATTTGATAAGTTTGAAGTATGTGCTATTTTTGTAAACTAGATCCACATTAAACAGCTTAGACAATGAGAAATTACAATAATTTTTGTATACCTCCCATGTCTAAAAAGTAATTTTATTTAATATGTTATATTTAGTTTTATTTATGTAGTAATTTAACATTTTTTTTTTTTTGAACTAATTTCTGTTTTTAAGGGCAATTGCTTAATGTGGGCAAACAGGACTGGTCCCAATGTGCCCATATTAAGCAGAATTCACTGTATTTTATTTATATAATGCAAATGGAAAATTTTTTAAAGGTAGATCTTGGGGCCAAAAGATCTCAAAACCTCTTCCCTTGTGCAAGCGTTTATGTTCAACAATGACAATAAGTTTGAACTTTGTGAGTCTTATATCTTTAGAACTGTTTTATATTAAATATAAAAAAATCACTAAGAACAGTGGATTCTAAATTTATATTAGTTTGTTTAGGTCTCGTTAAATGTTATAAGAGAAAAAAATTGGAAATTCTATAGGAGCTCCATAGATATCTCTTAATATTAATCGCAGAATATGTGTGCAAATTTTAAAATATTACTTACAACCACATAGTTTTGTTCATTGCATTAGCCTTTTCTGGTCTATTTAATTGGACACTGTAAACAAATTCTTTAGGATTTTCAATTTTTAGTGTATGATATTGAGACATTGCACTAATTTTTGATATATCTAAAAAGTAAATGAAAAAAAAAACAAAGGTAGTTTTGTTCTTAATGAAAACTGATATAAATTTTATATTTACTTCGGAAAAATAAAACTCCTTTTTGAAAACTAGAGATTCCTAAAAACATGGTAAATTATATAACACTGTGGAAATAATATTATTTAAGTAAGTATGTTATTAATGGATTTTACTTTTAATTATTTTTTATTTAACTCAATGCTAATGACTAGACAATTTATTGAATAATCGTAACGTATGATATTGCAATAATGATAAGCGATAATTAATACTATGAAATTCCAACGTTGAAATCAAAATTAATAAAAATAAAATTTACGATGTGGTATTGTATTTAGATTTAATTATAAATATTTTATAATGAAATGTGTCCTATCTCAAACTTTCACTTTTCTCACAGGACACAGATGATAGTGTTATACCATAAAACAAATATCAGTAGAATAACAACAGCATTGATATCAGAATATTAGATTATATTATGATTCGGGGTTCTATGGTTAATACCTGTAGGTAGGAGTAGTTGCAGTTGCATAATGCATTTCAAACAATAAACATAATACTATAGATAGTAGATACTGCATTATTCGCTTCACTAAACAGTAAAAATACACTTTTGACCAACATAAGAGAGAGAAACGATAATTTTCACTCATACAGAAGTTTCCGAGCGACAAGGGAACTAATCTTTAAACAATAATGAAAAGAGACGTAAAATATAATTTATTGACAATCAACACCAATCGTGAAGACAATATATTATTATAGCATAGTCTATAGAATATCGACTATAGAGACATATTTCAATAATTATTTTTTAATTTTACAATTCATAATGTTATATTATACACAATTGTTTGTATATTATGTAAATTGTAAATACTAAATATCACAAAATATATTATAAAGTTTTTGTATCTGTTTGATAATATATATATAAATCAATTTCTTCCCCGTACTTTAAAAAAATAAAAATAAATTTTTTTAAAACTATTTTAATAAAAATGCAATATATTGTTTATAAATTCATTCATTTTGGTACAACCACTAATATTAGAAAAATGTATAAAATTTAACATAGCTTGTAATTCTTTTGAGCCAAGCTATACCTACTGAAGCACTAATTAAAATTATTTCTTCTTTAAACACTCGATATATTGGCGAGTATTTAAGTCGAATGGTGAATATTACCGAAATCATGAAAAAAAAATCGAATACTTCATCTGTAGTCGGTACTCGGTTTACATCGTCACAAGTATCCAAAAAAAAAAAAAAAAATAATTAAGTAAGATTACTTCAAATTCGCATAATCTGATGTACTTTTTTTAAATACGTTTAAATTCTTAGTTTTGCTTTTGCCGTTAAATATCTTGAGCGGAGCGAACGGTCAGTTTGAGAGCGTTATTATTTTTTTTCTATTATGAATTGAGAATTAAGATCATAATATTCATAACACAATAACACATTAATTATTGTTATTATTACTATTATCATAGCTGTAGATTACGTCTTGCGCATCAGTCGCGATCGAAGTCGGTGCGCGGCGTTCGCGGTGACGCGGTGGTTGTAAACTTAAGACTGGCGGTGGTGTAATAATATTGATAAGACGGTCGCTGATAATTGTTATGTGTGCATCTATTATCAATATTATCATTAAATTATTCCAATCATTTAAATTTGAATTTTTTCGCGGATAATTCACGTAACGTCTACGGAGTACGGGTCCTCAGTCGTGCGTTACGGTCGTCGTTTCCTGGTGAGTACGAATTCGATATTTTGTTGTCGGCGTCCCGAACAGCGGTCGGTCCCGTTCGTACGCCGATGCGGTCTTTGTCTCGATCTTTGTTTGGTCGTGGCCTTTGCATTCACTTGACCGGGTTTGACGACGACACGCGCCTTTCCGTGTCTTTGATTTTCACACGTACTTCTTTAGATGGTGAACGGCTGTGGGATGAACGGGACGGCGGTTACGGACTCGGACGTGACGGTTGGACCGTCTACATCGTCCCCCAGGTCCAATAAGCGGCGTGTACGCGGTACTACCAGCCGCACAGTCACATTGCAAATGCTGTTGGAAACGAATATACTCGAACCTGGCGACTCTGTCTTGTCACTCGAGTACATGGTACATTGAACAGTCTTTGCCATTTGACCATCCGTCGAGCGGCATGCACTTGCTAACAGTTGATCTGTGTGGTTTTTATTTTTGTTTCCTTTTGTATTGTTAACGACAGTACGTGTAACACCTGACCGCAGTAGCTAGCTTGCGATTATGATTGATTGGTATCATTCTATTAACGTATGTTGTGTCTATGCTATATTTGGTTTTTATTTTTTGTGGCATTAGTTTGAATTGGAAGATGGCATTACGATTATACACGAATACATAATAATTGTGTATTTTTTGTATACATTCCCTAGTGTGCTATTATTCAATGACTTTTAATTTTTGTGTTTATTACCTAGTACTTTGTGAGTAAATTAAATTGTCAAACAGATTGAATAATTTTATTTCTGTTTTTGAAATTGTGCTTAAAAGAAATATTATTTAAAGATATATTAAAACAAGAAGTATAAATAAAATAAATGTAAGTTATGATTTTTTTTTTTTATTTTAAATCATATTCTTTTTACAGTGTTTTTACATTATACAATTTTGAAACTAATTAAATTTTTTTTTTCTTAGGGTCAAAGATTTATGGGAGATTTATTACCAGATGGTAAAATTCGATCAGTTGAAACATTAAATGAATTTGCATCTCCTAGCGCATGGGCCTATAATTGTAAAAGTATAATTAACAAAATCAAAAAAGCTGGTTGTGGTTGGTCATCAGTAAGTACAATTTATAGTAAATACATTAAAAAAAAAAATGTTTGTTTAATTTAAAATTCATTAAATAGGTACATTTCTTGATAAATAATAATGTTTTCCTCACTTAGTAGTTTAAACTAATAATACTATATTGTTTATTAAGATTTTAGTATTTTTATTTTGATATATTGAAAGAATTTATTACTTCACTTAATTTATTTGATTTTTATTAAATATTTTAACACATAATAGAATTAATTGTTTTTTTCTATTTTTAAAAGTAATATGCTATTATTATGTGGCACACAAAAAGTTCAAACATTTCATATTATTTGAGCAATTTTGATAAAAAAAAGTTATTTATTAATTTACCTTAAAATAAATTTATTAAATTAAGTTTATAATTATAATTATAAATAATTAGTTATAGTTTTTTAGTGTCAGACATCAATTTAATTTACTTTGAATGTTCTTTGTTAAAATATACTTAAATGCTGTGTTCTCTTGCATTTTCATCAATGCACACCTATTTATAGTTTAGTTTAAATTCCAACCATAATAGGTTAGTGGTATAAATTAATTTAATTATTTCTGTTTTCATTATAATAATAAGTATAAATAATAAATAAAGGTTTAGGAAAGAAGTGATTTCCATTAAATTCCCAATAATGCAATAGAATTAGTTTTAGTTATTTAGGTTATGAGTATAAAATGTTTAAGTGTAAATATAATACCATTTAAAGATATTTATTTCAAAGTAAATTTAACAAAACAATATACTTACAGTAATTATAAAGGGGAGGGGTGAAAGAGTTTATGTGTATATATAGTGTTATATCTCCCATTGCAATCAATTTATTTAACCAAATAGGTATCTTATGTCTTATAGTATAAAAATCAATGGTTCTAAATTAAAGTAACTTGATACTTTTTTTGTTGTATAACATGTTATCCATTTATTCCATTTGGTTAAACATTGGTTATTAACAATGAAGCATGTACTATAGTGTACAACAATGTTATATAATACAGTCTTAATTGCCAGTTATTTTTGGTTCTCTATTGGTCTATTGTGTTTACTTTAGTGAGAAATAGTTTTAGACATTATGGTGTCCTTTTAAAGAAAAAGTACTTTATTTGTTAAGCATACTATCTAATAAATTTCTGTAATGCTGTTGTTGAATACAAATGATTTTAACATTAGAAAATCAAATATTTAACTAAATATAAGTGTTTTATTGTGCTTTTTTAATTTTTATAAATACAATCTGTACAACTTTATTTACAATAAGAATATGAGCTATGAATAAAAATGACACGAATTGCATTAGAAAATAAGTAATTAAGCGGTTACACTTTTATAAAATAAAATATGAAAATAAATACATTTTTTTTTTATTTAATAATTTAATCAAGACGTATATTAATAACATATTTTTATTTATTTATTCTCTTAAATTGTTAGTAAAATACATTTTACCACAAAAATTGTCAATTAATAGATATATCAAATAAACCTATGTATTTATGTTATTTCATAGTTAATGAACTAAACTAAATTTATGCTATTGCACCAAGTATGCCTTTTACTATATTTCATTCAAAATTATTAGTATACAATTTCACACATGTATATATGATGAGAGGCTAGTGGATGTGGCGGTTGACTGAAATTGAGATACATTTGCAAATTCAAAATGTTTTCATCTGCTTCCTAGTGTACTCTAATTCTAATATGGTATAGTACATTGCACCTTTAATAGATTTCTATATCATATTCATAACTCATATTTTCATTCACATTATTATGTGCATATCTGAGTTATGAAACAACAAAATATATATTGAAATAAATCTGACCTATAATTTGATATGATATGATAGCAGATAGACAATAAAATAAATAAATATACACTTAGTTATATAAATACTAATCTTTTTGTTGTACATTTAATTTTTTATCTATTTATTGAAATATTAATTTATATGATGAAACACAAATATTTAGAATATGGAAGGTCTGAGAAATATAGGTGATGATTTGAAATAAACAATTTATGAAGTTCTGTAGAGGTTTTACCCAGTAACACATTTGTTACTCCCTTTATCGGTTTTACTCAACTAATGACTTGTCTTCATGTTCTGTGTGATTGGTTCATTCAAAGCTTTTGAAATGTGGTAATCTAGCCTTCTTGACCTTATCTTTTAAGCATATCATCATGTGAGCCGGAAGGGTTGTATATGTGTCCTATTTTTTGTCTTGTTGACACATTGACAAATTGATGTGTGATATACTACATAATAATCATAAATATATAATTACAATACACACACGTGTTTAATAAAACTATTTTATAATAGCTTATTATTAAATAATTGAAAGTATTTATTTTTAATATTCACATAACAAATTAAAACAAAGACATAATAGAACCTATATTTCACTGAATTGTGTAGTGTATTTTTTGAGCAATTATATGTGATGGTGATTCTATTAATTAATAAATAATAAAGATTATTATTATATACAAAAACACATAGATGCTTATAATTGTTGCAATAATTCAAATATAATTTTGCTTACATGTCTCATGATGTAACAACATTTTAACTTTTTAAATGTTTATATACTGCATAATATATTATGTTATATAATTTATATAGTTGTACATAATTACAAATCTTATTCATACAATTTATAATGTCCAATAACGTATAAGTATTTAGTACTAAATAGAGATATTAGAATATTTTAATTTTTATAAAATATGAATATTTAAATTAAATATTTTTTATTCGTAGATTCGGTACAAAGGTAAAAAATTGGATGCATATAAACATGCATATTTTAGAAAAAGAGAATCTTCAAGTATAGAGCACAATATAGTTCCAGGTAAGAATTTAAATGTATACATTTATTTAAAACTATTTATTTTTATAGAATTTAATCGAAACAGTTTTGTTTTATTATTGAAATTAAAAACAATATTTATATTATTTTGATAAATACAATTGACACACATGTGGTATAATGGTTTAATAGTGTTATTTATAACTTTTGTAGATTCTAATTCTTTTCAGATAAATTTACATAATATATGTTTTAAAACTTTTTTTATCAGTTATTATTATTTTTTATATGATTGTTCTAAAAGATTTTTATGACTCTTACTTTCAATAAATTATTTTATCTAGTTATATTTTACTTTGGAAAAATTTTATAACTTAACTATTTACAATTAATTCAATTTTCATTATTTTGTTAAAATTCATAAAACATTATTATGATTTTTAATATTCACCATGTATTTATTGCAATATAAATATGTAATTAATAAACTTTAGATAATTCCAATTAATATTTTTATTTGCTAATCATAAATAAATGATATTATTTTTAGGCATTTATTATCTTAAACATAAATCAAAATAGTAATAAAAAACATAATACAGCTTACATATTTTTTACAGAAATACAGAGTAGTGATATATATCACTATTCTGCTGTTAAAAATATTTTGGTCATATATTATAATTTGTTTACTGTTGTTAATAATATATTAATCAGTCATGATTTGTAAGAAAGTTAACTGTTTGCAGTTACTGCAAAGCTAAAGTTTTTTTTTTTAATGTTGATTTTACAGAGGATGTCAGCCAATGATGTACTTAAATTAGATTTTTTTTTGGGAAGGATTAATTTTTAAATTACCAAATTGAATGACCTGAACTTAACAAAACCTTTTGTAAACTTTAATAGATTATGCTTCAAAAATGTTTTTAAAATAATCAATACCTATTATTGGTACACAGTGGCGCAACAAAAAAATAATGATTTCTTAGAAATATTCAAATACCCATAGGTACTCACATAAGATAATGTTTTGCTATATTATTTAATATTTATAATCAGAATTACATTAAACAATATTAGAAAGGTCTATAAAATTAAAACCATTTATTTTATTATGATGCATTATTTGCTATACGTAAAATTTAAACAAATTTTATATTGTTAGTTTTTTATATTAAAGTGTTATTTGTGTTATATATTATCTGTTAAAGTTTGGATATATCATTTTCTTTGCTATAGTGATATGTTCTTTAAGAATGACATTGATTTATGATTATGAGTTCTGGATTCATTTGATTATATTTTATATACTCAATACTTATAACTCTCTTAAAAATTTAAATAAAGTAAAAGACAATCTTAAAATGTAGATATTGTATTTAGTTAAAGTTCTGTAAGTTAATTAAATTTAAAATTAACGCTACAAACATGAAATTTATTATTGAATTTAAATGCGCTATTATATTTTTTGTATGAAGGAGACAACATTAAATATATATATATATATATGCTGGTATGACATCTGTCACATTTTCCAATATTTATATATTTGCTTATTTTATGTAAAAAAACGGTCCTATAATAATATATGTTAATAAAGAACTGTTTTTAAGTTGAAGATATAGAATCTGATGTTACATATGCAATTCAAAATGAAATTTTACCATCGAATTCACCAATTGAGTCACCTGTTGCAAAAGAACCTATCAAATTTAGCGAAATTCGTTCAAGATCAAGTAATCAGTAAGTTGGTTTTCTTAATACGCAATAATTAATTCTTTTACAAATTTTTTTACTCACATATTTAATAATTGTTATGCTCTGTAAATTTAAGAAAACTATAGTATTTCTACTATAGTACTAAGTAACTAAGTATTTCTTAACAACTGTATTTTTATCTTGTTAAATTATAATTTTTGAACAAGTAGTTTGAATGATATTTTGTATTACAGAAATCTAAATACATTAGTGGAATGTACAGATTGGTCTTGCATTAATAAAGTCCAACCATTTCATGTTAATATATCAGCAAACGCAAAATTATTACTAGATTTTCATTGTCATTTGATGAGTTCAGAAGTTGTTGGATATCTCGCTGGAAATTGGGATTTTTCAACTCAAAGTTTGTGTTTTAATATAACTTTATTTAAATGGATACATTTTTAATTGTAATATACATTTCATAGCATTGACTGTGAAAAACGCATACCCATTCAGAAGTCGTTTACATGATGCTGAACTCACTTCATTGATTGAAGAAGAAATAAGAAACACGTTTACAGCCAAAAACTTGGTTCTTGTTGGATGGTATCATTCACATCCTGAAACAATTGCTACACCTACATTAAGAGATATCGAAGCCCAACTTGATTATGAAGTACAAATAAAAGGACCGACTGTTGAATCATATATACCGTGTGTTGGAATCATTTGTTGTAAGACATTTTTTATTGTTTAATTATTTTTTTGAAAAGTTATTAATTTAGTTTCATGAATGTTGATTTAGCACCTTATAACAAAGGTAAATCAACCCTTGATTCAACTATCACATGTTATTGGGTACTACCATCGTTTGAAAATGAAATACATGATTATGGACGTCCAATGAACATGCATTTTACTACTAAACCAGAAAAATCATTAACATTAGATATTGTTATGGCATTAGTAAGTTATATTCAAGCATGAATCTAAATGTGATTAGTGTGTTTAAAATGTTTTAGGTTGTCATAATCATATATAAATATTTATAAAAATTATATTTCTTTTTTTTTCAGAAAAAATGTGTTGACTTTAATAAATATGATCCGGATGTAATTAATTTTAAAGATAAATACAAAAACGATGTGACTTATTTAGAAAAGCTAAAGGTACATGTTTTTTCAATTAAAAAATAATAGTTAAAATTATTTAATGTGGTGTTTTACTTTAGATTTCGTTGATGGACAAATTTCCTAAAGATGATACAATACACAAATTTTTATGGAATTTCTTAAGTGAAATAGTTTGTATTGGTAGTTCAGGCGATACTGCCAAAAATAATTTGCAAAATTTGATTGCTGTAATCTCATCGCGTCAACTCTTACTATCAACGTCAAGTTTTCGGACTCCAAATCCTTTGATTGAACATTTAGAGTCTTATTTGCAATCATGTAATGCCAATAGTTTGAAGTTAGAAGATGTTCCTACAACTAGTGATTGTTCAAACATAACTTCAGCGAGTATTGCCAGTTCTCTATTTAATGATTTAGACTTTTCTAAAGCAATGTCTTTGATAGGGTTATCTCCATCACGGTATCAAACAGATCCTTTAAAATAGGTTTACAACCTTTTAGTTTTTTAATTTTTTAATTTAATATTTGTAGTAATTTTTATAAATTTTAGAAATATTTATCAATTTATCTATATTTATTATGTATTAATTAAAAATAAATACTTTTTAACTAAATTTATATTAATATAAGTACATTAATGTTTAAATAAAAAAAAAAATGTTATTTTGTCAATATTTATCAAAACATGTATTCAATTGTATAACATAAAAATCTATTTTTGAATATTGTACTTAACTATTTAAGTGTAATTTATCTAGTACATTGTTTTTATTTGGAAATTTAAAATTTGAAAAATGTATACTGTTGAAATTCAGTAAAAATTGGTTTCAAAAATAAGTTATTGGTATTAATTATTAGATAATTTTTTCCTAAATTATGATGATAAAAAAATCTTGAGTTTTTCATCATGGCAATGTTTTTTTTTTTTTTGTTATAACCTGGATTTTATGATAAAACAATTTTGTTATTAATTTGTTATAAATGATCCTATTATACAATTTAATTTATTAAAACAAAAATATATAATAATTGATTAACAGCCTAATTTTTATTTTATTTTTTTAAATATTTATTGTTTTGTAATAATTAAATATGGTAAATAATAATATGTGTATGTGTTTTTAAATATTTGATATGAATAAAATTAGTTTTTGTTTATTTAACTAATTATACCAATATACAATTTAGTTATATTTTTCTATGATGCAAGTTAAAATTTAATTTTTTAAAATATCTATAGTTACTTATTATAAACATCTTTAACAGTTCTGTTTTTCAGTCACAAAAGAGTAATAATAATAATAAAAAAAAAAATGTACCTAGAGATAATATTTCTGAGCAATATCTGTAATTTTTTCGTCTTACTGACAAAATGGCAAATTTACATTAAACCGAACCAATTTAATAATTTTAATTATAACATATTAATGATTTAAGCTGTATTATAAACTTTAAAAGTAATATAAATTAATTTATAAGCGAGAGTTATGATTGTTAAAATGCAATATTATACAATTATGTATAAGGTTATGTACTACAAGGTACTAATAACTCTCTTAACAATAATTTAAATGTTATAAATAACCGACTTAAAAACACTGCTAATGTTTTTTACTTTAAGATTGATAATAATTAATAAGCCACCTACTCCACTTTAATATGTAGGCTGTTGAAGCAGACATTTTTGAGTTTTTGAATTAATGGAGTAATTTTCTAGTTTTTTTAATGGAAACTGCTAAAAGAGAAAAACATTACTGATTACTTCCATTTTCAGTCATAGAATTTGTATTTATGTGAGAAAAATATTTAATGTTCACAACATAATATTGGTAGGTACATATTATTAGTGATATTACTGTGATATTGCCTGACTCCGATCGGGCTAAAATTAATCTATAGACTATAATTATCAACTTTGTTTCAATGGAAATTTAAAAAAATGATAACACAGTCAATACGTAGGTACCTACCTGTTTAATCGCTGTGGAAATTGTTCGAATCTGTTATAAAGCCTTTCCGGATTAACAGGCTGACAACCAAATGTGTCTGTGCGTGTTTCATTCAATATTACATTTAATCGCGTACGTTTAAAAATCACTGCGTACACAATTTTATATTTGTAGACAGTCGTCATTAGGTATCCGATATTCCGATTCAACGCTGTTTTAAACATTATTATCAATGCATTATTCTTATGCAGTAATTATGTAATAGTTCACAAAAAAAAAAAAAAAAAAAATTGCGATAATTCTAATGACTAAGCGTGGCAGTATATCTGTCTCTAAACTTTGAAAGTAGATATGAAACGACTTTCTTGAATATTTTTTGTTTTAAACGATGTAATTTTTAAACAAGTATGGCCGGTCGGAACAGCATGTTCCGGGAGCTTGGTAAAAAGCTGTTTCGTATAAGAAATACACACTCTTTCTAAAAACAAATTCAATAACCGCGTCACATTGTCACAATATAGGTATTTTACAATAGCCATATTTCTACGTGGTTGTGGTGATCAAAGACATGTTACATGTTGTACTTAGTCAGTATTCACCATGCAGGTATAATATCTATATACAAAACTTATGGCAATGTGCAAGCACTTGCACAGGAGCGCAGTAGCAGTTCGTATAACGAATGCAAATATTTTATGAATAACTAAATTTCCCGTAAAATGTTTGCATAAGATAAAATTTAATTGAATGATTAAGCCCGAACGCCAAGTCCTAATTATCCATCAACACCTAGGATAATAATTATTGTGGATGAAAATTGCGAGGGTGCAGTGCACTATGCATTCGCACATACTGCTCCTATCCTCAAATTTCGTGTACCGGAAAAGTCAAACATTTGATACGTTCCGACTAATCTGTAGGTATATATTTATTATTTAGGTACCTACATCTACCCAAATTGCTCGTCATTAAAGTCTCGCGACAATATCCGGACCGGAAATTCGGAGTGTTACAAGGGAAGATGATCACATCTACCCGACGTGATGACGAAAAATAATAAAATCTATGCGTATCGATCTATAACGCGATCGTAGGCAGGTAATACTTAAAAGAAAAAATAACGGCAACAACATACCTAGTAACGATTCGGCGCCGTGGAAACAAAACGGCGATACAAAACGTACGACTATCATGGCAGCAAATAATATTGTGTTATTATCGTACCGACTTGGAAAATTCGGCGAACGCGACGGTACAAACAGAATAAGGTACAGCCTCTTCATACGGCCATACCGACACAAATGTGTCGTACACTTTGTGTTCGCTAAAAAAAAAGAGCTTTGCAATACCAGTTCGACAATGGATGCGAGTGTGTTTTTCGGTTCGTCGCCGACCCTGGACCTCGAGCCCAAGTTCGTGTTCGGCATAACCAACAACGTACCGGGAAACTGTCTGTACTGGAAAAACGACGTGATCGTGTACCCGGCCATGTCGGTAATCGTCATCTACAACACGAAGGACAACACGCAGAAGTTCATCTACCTGACCGAAGGATCGCGGAGAGTCATCACTGCCATGGACTTGAACACCAACAAGTATGTGTTATAATGCGTTATCGTTGAATGGTGTAGTTTCGCTCAGATTGGATACCGGCGTACCGTATAATTTAGTTATAACCTAGAGGCGGGAAAAATGACTAATTGCTCGAGCAACACGCCAACACGTAAAGTTTTTTGACCTAAATATACGCATTGATTAGAAATGCCTTGAGTTGGTACGTAATAATATTTATGATCAATAGCATGAGTTATACAGCGCCTTTACGCTATTACACATCATATATGGTACGTAATATGATTAAGTACCTATACCTACCTATTAAGTGTAGCGTATAACGTTTGATTGAATCGGAAACTTTCTGAACCAGAGCTGAAAGTACCTTGTACTTATAGCCTATAGCAAGGGTCTTCAAACTACGGTCCGTGGGCCGGATGCTGGCTCCCGATTAAGTTTTCACCGGCCCGCCAAATAATGGCAAATATTCTAAAAATGTGTATAGTTTTCATAGTCGTTATCGCGCGCACTAGCAGTTATGAGTTGTATTGGCTGTAATTTATGTGTTCATATATTTTGGCTCGCTAAGAGCTTTTTTTATTTTATGTAGGATAAAAAATGTTTGGAGACTCCTGGCCTAAAGGAACCTATCGACTGGAGAGTAAGTCATAACGTTGTATTGGCAATTTTGTCATTATCATTTATCTTGGTGCTAATTTCAATTTATAAATTATAATATAGACAAATGCAGTTATTTAAAAACAATACGTTGGTTTAAAACGGGTTTGAATTAAAAATTAATAACAACTAGATATCTATGTACATGATATGAATATATAATAGCCAATAGGGGAGGGACAGATAAAATATCAAATTCGTACATTTAAATACTTAAATATATTGATTTACACCAAAATAGGTAGTTAAATAAGAAGTTAATAGAAATTAAGTAAAAGTATTACATTACGTATTATTTTGTTTTTTTCATTTAAGTATGAGCTTATTATTGTGTTTTATTGACTTTCGCGTAAATTATTAATATTAATATAAACTCAGAAATATTGTAGAAACTCGATTGTTACAATAATAAAATTATCAAACTTAGATAATGAACTATTATATTATCTAATATAATAATTTATAATATTAAACATCAAAAGTGTACGTATAAAAATTGTTATAAGCATTTATAATAGAAGAAATTGACGTTTCATTGGTTTTATTTAAAACTTTTACCCAAAAATTCTAGAGAGGTTTTAAAAAATGTTGAGTCGACCCAAGCCTCCCGCCTTTAGTTACATCTATGTAACTAGTACTTATAGTATCGAGATCAGTCAATATTTATTTTTAAGTATCTTGTACATCATTGCTTGCACCTAAACCCAAGTACTTTAAATGGCTTGCAGTCACGTTTTGGCTGTAGCGACGATAGATGAGAAAGAATCAGTGGACGGGATAGTGAGCGGTACCAGCGCGAGACCGGTGATCAGCATTTACGATCTACGCACGTTGGACTTGAAACACGTGTTCCAGGAGCCGGACAACAACGACAATGACGAAGACGGCAATGCCGAAGACAATGGATCGAAAAAGACTTTTCGACGGAGGTTCACTAAAATTCATTTTTTATGGGACAATATCTTCGTGGCGGCTCTTGTCGTCGGTGGTCATGACGGGTCGGATTGCACTTTGTATTATTACAGCTGGAGAAATTCAACGATCGAAACGTATGTGCGGATTAATGGCCCCGTGTCTGACGTAAGTTGTGAACTTTAACGCGTGCTGAGTGTGTATGTGTGTAAGTGGTGCATTTAGCAAAAATTGAAAGGTAAAAATAAAAATAGAATTTTCCGAAGGGGGTTTTTTTCACTTTTATTTGACTAACCGAAACTTACGAATGTATAGCATAAAAATAAGTGCTAATTATACTGTATTGAGGTTTCAATTCTTGAATTCATAATAAATATTTTTACTTATATTTTGGACATCAACATTTTATAATAATATGTATTATTTTGATGTTTTACAATATAGGAATTAAACATACATATTGTTTCACAAAAAAAAAAAAAAAAAAAATAGTATAAATATATATTAGGTAGGTACTAATATAAAAATTGAAATATATCTCGATATATAATTTTAAATAATTAATATAAACGAAATAATAATATATATTTTTTTAAATTCAATGTTTCCCTTTTATTATACGAGTATTATATTTACATATTATAGGAAGTAGGTACATTATATTATTATTTATTATAGTCTATTATGTTTTAGTTATAGCTATAGGCATAATGTCCAAACCAAAAATAATTTCATAAACAAAGAAAGCTATAGGTTTTTATCAACATTTTAAATTTAATAATAATTATTTATTTTTATTTGTATAAAATAAATGTAAAGTGACTTTACATTCTTTTAATATTAAAGTTATGTCAGTGGCGTATTAAGGATTTTTTCTTGGGGGGGGGGGGGACTTACCATCATCATCACCACTGTTTCTCAAACATTTTGAGAGTTGATATTGTCAATAAGTACACACATGTTTTTATAAATTTGTTTTATTAAAATAAGAAATAGTGATAAATGAAAATATGTAAAATAAATATGTAAATTTTTATGTATTATGTAGGACGTTACTAGTATACTAATATAGAGTCTTTATGATACGAGTATATTGACTACTGTGTATACATAAATTAACAATAATTAAACCACTAAATCAGTTGATTTTGAAATTAAAACAAAAATTACGATAAAAGTTTATAGGTACTCAAAGACTTCAACAGTTGAACATTAAACATATTACCTAACTTTAAGGTTAACGACAACTGTCTGAGTTAGTGCAAAAGCGTAAGTGTACGACTTATAAAGGTACGGTTTCCAAGCTGCGGCTGGCCGCAACGACTAACGCAGTCCGACTGGTGCTATTTATAATTGCGAGTGTGGTTTTCAATACGCCATCGACGTTTGCGATTCATACATAGTCGTTGCGATATTCTAAATGCAAATGACAGTGATCTAAACGATTCTCCTGTTGCAAGATACCTACGAATTATATAATAAAATAGATATATTAATTTATATATGAAATTTACACTTCATATTTAGAAATTAAGAAATTTTAAAACACGTTCCAATGCATTTTTATATTCAAATAGTAATAAAGACATTATAATATAGGTAAAGTTAACAATTAAAGGTATAACTTATAATTATAAGGTAATATTTTTTAGTGTAAGTATATAAGTTAAGTATTAAAATATATTTACCTTAAAGTAACGGCTAGTTTTTCATCTGCTGTAATTGGTTTTTTCACGTGGTTAGATGGAGGTAATGATATGTCGTCCTTAATTAATGATAATTAAATTGATCATAATTTAAAAGGAAAAAAAATCACGAAATTTTTTTGTATTATCATTTAAATGTCCTTTTATAAGCACTTCAAAAAAACCTTCCTCGACTCTGGTTGTAAACAATTTGTTGATTGGATTTCTTTTTTTACTAGTTAATAACAGATTATACCTATTATTGTCTTCTTCTTCCTCTTCTAATAACAGTAAAATTATATTATTATTATTAGCAATAATTTGCTCCATTGCTACTTTGTTAACAACAATTATTATAACAAAAAAATCAATTACCAAAACACACGTCAGTACTCCACAAAATATTAGGATAAAATGAATTCCGATAGTCGCAACGTTTTGCGGAAACCAGTCGCGGCACGCAGCGTTTAGTCGCATCTTGGAAACCATACCTTAAGTTATAGTTAATAGTAAGTTGTGCTGGAATAAAAATAAAGTATTGCAATAATTAATGATAAAAATAACTCTATTTTAGTATATTAGTTTGGTTGTTATCTGTACTGAATACGTATTTTGTCGTACTATTAGAATTATGTAGAGAACGTAGAACGAAAATTTATAATTATATGTATTACACTGTTTGTTATAACTTAAAAGTTATAAATATGCAATATGTTTTAAATTTTTGCTTCATTTTAAGCTAGGTATAACATAAAAGTATTATACAGGTCGCTGAATATTCAAATAATGTTTATCATTTACTGTGAACTTACGAGCTATAATTGCTTTAAAATAGTAATCAAACGCTTATTATTAAAAGCATAGTTATAGCTGGATGATTATTGACATTACTTATCAATCTATCAAACCTGTATGTTTAAATACACCAATGCGTTGTTTTAATGTTGAAACGGAGTAATGTATAATTTACTGTAGTTAATTATAGTTACTAAAAAAAAATTAAATATTATCATCTTACGAGTTACGAGTAAAAAGTTGTACATCCTTCTTATTTGTTTGTATAAAATCTTCTGCTTATAGTTATAAATACAGCCCTGATTAATTATGTATTTATAGATGGCATTGAATCCAATCGACACTGCAATATGTTGTTTTGTAGGAAAAGAGTTGTTCCGGTTGATGACTAAACCCGAGAAGGATTGGCAGCAATATGGTTTTCGTGAAGCTGACGGTATACATTTTACGTGCGTCTGTTGGTTGTGCGGAGACAGGTACAGTATACGTCTATGGTGTTTATATCTACAGAGTGGGCTATGGCAATAGGGACAAAAATAGATAAACATAACTTAGTATGTTTTAGATGTACAAATATTTTATTAATATTTTGTTGTATATAAATAAGTGCCATTTATTTTTTTAAAAATTACATCAGGTATATGACGATCTAAAAAATTTGAATGAACGCGCTGAAGCAATTCTTCATTAATTATTGAAATTTTTGCTCTAATTGTATCCTTAAAGACATAATAATATAATGTAATAACTTGTCGATTGATCAGCGTTTTCCAAATGTTTCCTCCAATGCGACGCTATAGTGATAAAAAGTGCTTGCGGACACCACAGCAAAAATTAATAACATTAATGTTATTATGAAGTTTTTTCTTTACTTTTTAAAATAATTTTTTTGTTAATTTTTAGTGCTTTAAGTTCAAAATTTTGACAGTTGTATTTAAGAAACAATAAATTAAAAGTTTAAATATGTTTAATAAAAAATAAAAAGGAAAAGAAAAATGTTAAATTATGCGTGTTATGTAAAAAAAAAAATAGTTAAATAATTTTATTCCTGATAATAACAAAGTCACTCAAGTAAACTTGTTCTTACTTAGTTAGGCTTGTCATTCAGGTGTTTGCTTGAAAGTGTAACAGACTATATGATATTTATTGATTGAGCGGGTTTTGTGACAGTACAGGTGTTTGGCGGGCACCATTGATGGCAATGTTATTCTCTTCAAGAACGGCGACCCACAAGCTGTGTACCGCGTTGACGCGATTAGTGAAATCGACGTGACTATAATAATGACAGAGATCCATCAGCTATCCATGACCACGATGTCCGCTAATCTGTCAAGGAACAACATTGTTCGGAGCTGTTTTACATTCGAATTTGGTTTGGTGCTGTTGGTTGGCGATTTTACCATTTATCATTTTCGGAAAATGGATGAAGGACGGAGGTAAATATACATACACACTCGGGAACGGATCTATTTAACGGATCAATCGTTCGATTATCGCGGTGATTAGTTCGGTGATAGAACGGGTGCACCATTATATAATGGTGATTATATATGTACTGGTAAGGAGTGTTGGCTTTCGTACTTGTAGGTTGTAATCAAGAAAGCATTTCATGAAATTGTATACATAATGTAACTCTGATTAAGGCTCAAGAATTAAAACATTGAAAAATTACATTTTTAACGCTTTAATATGCACTTAAAAATACTAAAATAAACACAAAAAATAGGTAAATATACAAAATAAAATTGTCAACAAAATTTTTTGCTTTTTATAAAAGAACTTTTGGATTTTTTTTTAAAATACAAATTTCATTTTTTTTTTTTATAAAATATGGGAATAAGTATTTAGGAACTATTGGTCAGGTATAAAATGTTAATGCGATAAATTCGATAATTGCAGTACAATGTGTCTAACAAAAATTTTTAAAAATAACCAAACTATTGAAAATCAATAGAATAAATTGTCCGAAATCATAATTTATAAGTCATAACAACCAATAACGTAGCTACTGTTTGAAAATAAAAATGTATGTTTTCGTTGGTTTATTTGTATACTTTATTGGAATTACATTATTTATTTCCTTAATTATATAAAATTATACCTTAAACCTTTAAATTAGCAAAATAGCATTAGAAACCGTAAATATGCATAAATTAGCAAAATTAAATTTCTTATACAATATCAGGAAAGTGTGAAACAAATTTGTATTTTTCTTACAATGTTCTATGATTTATTAAAATAATTATGTATTTACAAGAACTTCCGAATCTTGGATATGGATTTAAGAAGTGGTAATTGAAAAAGTGATGGAGTGTTTAATTCTGAAATGAAGTTTTAAGCCACTGTTCACGGGCTAAGTTAATTTTAATTTTCACAGATACGAAAAAACCTACAAGTTTATCAAGGAAGAGTACCGGTACCTGCAGCAGGAAGAGGTAGAGGATGAGTTACCAATGCATTACATAGAGAGCGTATGCATTAGCCCCAACAGCAAGATATTGACGTTTATTACGAAACGACCTCAACTATACCACGCACTACTATCTCAACCGGATGAAAACGATGACGAATCGACGATGCTTGTAAGATGATATAATTATACTAATTACTAGTACATTATTATTGTTATCGGTGTGATCACGGAGATACCTGTAAGGTGCAGCGTTTAACCAAATTCTGGTGTAATTTAAATTATAAGATTCTCTACGGTATTTTGCGATTTTGTTAGAAAACCATTAGGTAGGATTTTGATTCAGTGGTGCAATTTTTCCAATCAACGTGTTCATGAATTACCTTTAAAATTTAAAAATTTGAATTTTTTTTTTTTAGTTTGATTATTGCAGCGTTCAATATCTTTTTCAATTGATATTCAAAGTTCAAATTGGAAATGTGTTTTGTAGGTTAAGTAAAATTTATTTGTGAATTTATAAGTTAAAATGCGAGCATAAAAGGAGTAAAATTCTCAATGTAAAACGCCTACACTCCAGTAATCGAAAAAAAACTAACCTAATAAAAAAGAAATGAAATAAACCGGGGATATTTCTTTCAGAAAATAAGATTTTTAATAATCATTTTCAACTGGGAAATTATTGTCTTAAAGATGTTTCGAAAAATTAATTCATCAAGATCTAGGTTCTATTAATCGTAGTCAATGATACGTATTTTATGATATGTATAATCAATATACTATATAATAGTAGGTATATAACTAGCATAATGTTCTATTTTTGGTATACTTGTGCGGCAAATGAACGTATTTTACACTACTGGTTTAGTGTTTTTTTGTTTCTTCGTCAGAGTTTGCCGACTATACCTGGACCACTTGGCGTTGATTTGCATCATGGTGTTGTGGAGAGCTTATCAACAAGCTTGTGGAAACCGATTCTAATGACATGTGGCAAATTGGACTATACCATCAAGGTGTGGGATTATGTGCAGTGCACGTTGCTGCTGTCCAAACATTACCCAAAACCGGTGTGCATCGTATCAATGCACCCCACTGGGCTGTATTCCTTAGCAGCGTTCTCAGACCACTTGGAGTTCCAGATGGTACAGATGGACGATCTGGTGCCGTTGAAAATCTTCCCAGTCAGAAACTGCACAGCGGTCACGTTTAGCGGGTCCGGTCACATGTTTGCCGTGGCTAAACCGGGTGCTATAGAGGTATACTGTTCACTAATGTTTGTGAAATGTTTTTCGTGCCTCGGACACTTGGGACCAGTAAGTATTGCATGCATTTATTCATAAAGTATCAAGTATTGAGTAAAGAACTGACTAACTAACTAATAAATAGGGTATAGATTTTGAACCACTAAAAACGATAAATAGCGTTTAAAATAAAGAAATAAAACATTAAAAATCCTTTAAAAAGGCTTAAAAAATTTTACAACAACGTCATTGATTTTAGTTTTATTTAAAAATAAAAAATTATAAATCATTTGGTTTTTCAAAAATGCATTATATACTAAAATTTAATGCTCTAAAATGTCATTAAAAAAATAAAAAAGTATAAAATTCTACGTTAAAACGTAATTTGCATTTATTAATAGCTTATTAAGTTCCGTTTCGAACTATTAGAAAAAATAACAAATTCTATAAAAAATCTTACTATTTAATAATAAGTTATTGTACATTATAATTTATAATTCTAATTGCTAGAATAAGATTAACTATTTTATGGTATATCGCACTAATAGTTTTGTTTAATACATAATTAAGATTACACTGCGATAGTATATTTAAGCTATTTCGGTATATTTCTGCCGGTGGTTCATTATTCCGTCATTTCTTAGATATAGGTTGTTAAAATAAACTGATGAATGATAAGCTAAATTAATATTAGCTATTACTGATTTCAAAGCATTTTTACACTTTCTTTACTCTTCGATCGTGGTTGTTTTTTTTAATTTTGTAATTGAGTTTAACTAGTCATAAATGTTTTTAGATTTAAAAAGTGTAAAATATTTTAAAAGAAACTCCGAGAAAAATATGAAAATTAATAGATTTGGAAATTTTATTGTTAGTGTATAATGGCTCTTTAGATATGCACTCATAATATAATTTAATGAAATAATCTTATTAATTCTTTAATGTTTTAGAATTTCTATATGAGTCTTTTGATCGAGGCTCATTATTATTTTTTTGTAAAATATAAATAAATAAATATATTTTCACAAAAAAAAAAAAAAAAACTTAAAACAATTTTTTATTTTTCTATAATGGTGAGATTTTTAAATATTATATTATATATAGTTAATAAAATTTGAAGTTATGATAACTATTTATTATTTAGGCACCTTAGTTGCGAATTTAGGAATTTTTTTTTTGGGAATCAAAATTTTTCCTATTAATTTTGTAAATATAATTAACAATTTGATATTAGTTCTTGCAACTATAATTAATTGTTAAAAAAGTCCCGAGCCCCTTGAGCCTCCCATGAATCTACTACTGAGGCACCTTTATCATATTATCCATTTATACAATGGAAACTTAACTTTGAATAGATTGAAAAGTTGGTCTGGTGCAACCACGATATGAATATAGTCGCTTACGATATTGTTGGTGCCATATGTACATTTGACACAAAAACCGGAAAAGTTTTAACGCATATTGCTCCCTACACGGGTGCAGCTTATACGGATTTGGCAGTTGGACAAGATGTTAATCAATTATTCGTCATTGCTAAGGACGGCAGTTTGAAAGAAGTCTACGATCGAAAGGTTTTCAATTCTGTTCATGTTTGGTTTATGAAGACGTCGCTCTAAAATGTGCCATCTTCATAATAATATTTGGTATACGCATAATATTAAAGTATTGAACCAAATTATTTTTTTCTTGTTCTAAATTTTGTAGTTTACTTTGTGAAAAAGAATAATGTTATTGTCATCTACTTAATGTTAGTATAATTTTGATTGTAAATTAGATTAAATTTAAATAACGTGATATAAATACTATTATACATAAAATAAGTTTCAAAATTAAATATCTGCAAAATTGATATAAACAAAACGTAGATAGTATTATTTTTTTAAGTTTTAGACATTTGTAGTTAACTCAAAAATGAACCAGTGAGTAGAAGCCTAAACAAATTCAAATTATAGTACTAAATAATTTTATCACGAAAAATTTCCAATAATTAATATAGATGTAACAGATTATAGTGTGGCGTCATAGTAATTTAAAAAAGTCTTATATTTGATAAGATAGATTATATAAATCACTATTGTTTTGAAAAATGTTGTATTGAAGGTTAAACGTGAAGTGAATTTTTATGGAGTACCATTGAATGCAGTATCAGTTTCTAAGTCAAATTTGATTTTATTCATAGCAGCCGAAAATGGTGTTATATTGACTGTAATATTACCTATGGGAGTTCAAATCGAATACAAAGAATTCAAAATTCATAGTAATAGTATCAAGAAGGTATGTTAAGTATGAAAATTGTCAGGATATAATGGCTAAAAATTTTAAAATTACTACTATTTTAAAATTAAATAGCTTATTAAAAATATTAAAACTATCATAATACGAGTGAAATTAAAATAATTTGTTTATTATTGTTTTACTCAAGTAAAAATCATTAACTTTTATAATAATTCGATAGATAATATTCAGAATACAATTTACGTAAAAAACTATTTTGTAAAAAATGTAATACAGTTATATCTGTGTGAATAAATTGATTATTTCGACAAAACTAAAGTAAAAAGTCAAATTAAAAATACTATTTATTATTTTATTGTTTATACTTACTATAAAGAATATATCAACTTATAATAATTTAATTTAATTCTAAAAACTATTTAAATTTAAAATACACTGAGGACAATTACATTAAAATACATGATTTATTAATAATAAATAAAAATTTATAATTTTATTGTTTATAGATTTATAAGATTATTTTTCTTTAATGTAATAAATTTAATTAAGCATGTATTGTTACTATCGCTTCTTGCATTATTATTGAAATATGTTTAAAGAATCATTTTTATTTGTTGACATGTACGTATTGATTAAGATGTGTTTAGCAACAGACGGCTCAGTTTTGATTTCTTGTTCAGAAGATTCGAATATATGTGTATGGGAAGTAAAAAACACAGAGAATATAACTAGAAAGATTGAAAAAACGCATGTTTATACTGATGACATACTAGTTAACTTGTCAAAATATGATAAATTGCAAGAAAATATTAAGAAAATTGAGACAGCGGTTAATAAATTAGAGACAGAAAATACAATTAATTTAAATACAACAGTAAAAGCAAAAGAACAGGAAATTAAAGATATAAATAAAGCAAACACAACGCAATATTATGAAACTATTAAAAAAAATGAAGTAATAGATTTTATATTTTAAATGATACAATATTAATATATAATTGATTTAAGGAGGAGCAAGAAAAACAAAAAAAATTGATAAGTAAACTCAAATTTGAGTTAAATCAATTAACTGAAACAAATGAGCAGAGTATAATCAACTTAGAATCATACTATAACAAACAATTAGTATACAAATATAAAAAATTTTCAATTCTTGAAAACTACGGATTTCAGTTGACTTCTGGGTTACAAAAGTAATTTTTTACGATTTTATACAATATAATATAATAATTTATAATTTAATCCAATCGAATTAGAAATTTAGAAGCAGTGCAAGATACTTTAGACAAAGAATTACAGGAGGCAGCAAGTAACAATGAAAAGAAGCTTAGAGAAAAACTTGAAGACATATTACAAGTATATAATATGATTTATTACTAAAGTGTGTATTAAAAATTTAAAATAATTATGAAATTGTTTTCAGTCGAAGGAAAAACTGATTAATGAAAAAAATAATACTAAAATGTTAGTAGGTGATACTGAGAATAATGTAGATGAAAACGTTTTTAGTATAAAAAATAAATTCACCGATAAGCTGAATAATTTAAAAGATTTATATTCAAAAACAATGAGTGCTTTAGCAGAGGATAAGATTAAATATAACTTGTATGTAGTTTTAGCACATATTAATAGGTAATTATATAAGTACATTGTATGTTAATTATGAACATCGTTAAAGGTATAAACAAAGTATCGATGAACTAAGGCGGTCATCAGAACTCCTTACAAAAGATATGGAAGAATTAAAACTGGCGGCCAACAAAAAAAAAAATAGAATTTTTGTTTTGACAAGATTAATAAAACAATGCAAGGAGATTATACCGCAAAAAAATATTCAAATTTTAGATGTTAAGCAACAAATGTCACTATTAGTAAAAGATTTAAAAGTGCTTAAGGAAGATATCATTGAATTAGAACAAACCACAGAACCATTAGAACTGGAAATACAAGAAATAAAAAATTTGAATGATCAAGTAACTAAAAATTATTTTACCTATACTAAAATAGTTGGTATTAAAAACCAGGTAGCTATTTAAATTATAATATAGTTACTTTTGTATCTATATTTATGTATAGATAGACATTAAACTCGAAGTTGATATTGATGCAATGAAAAGTTTAAATGTATCTTTGGAAGAATTAATAAAAAAGAGGTTTGATACAAAAACTGAATTAAATAAAAAAAAGGCAACATTTAGAAAATTTGTCAAATATTATCAAACAAATGGAAATTGATATACGTGTGGCTTCTCAAGTGTATCATAATACACTTGAAAACAAAAGATTAATAATTGTAAGTTGAATGGGTTATTCGAAGTTAAAAAATAAAACATTTAAATATTGTTTAGAATTTCTTCAAAAAACATGTTGGAGAAACTGAGATTCGTGAGATTGAAGAAAGAGAAATAAAAGGGCGAGAAGAGTTTTTCAAGCAGGATGATTTTTTGAAACGCCGAATTAAAAGTCTGAGAAATATGTTAAATTCTTTTGGCAAGAAAAACAAATTTTATTATTTAACAATGGAAGAAAACACGAATCTTATGAAAGAAATTAATAATCTACGGAAAAACGCTAATACCTATTTAAAAAAATACAATAATTTAAAAAATATATTGGAAATGGAAGAAATCAAAAAAGACACGCATAAAGGAGTTATCAAAAAAAAAAAAATTTAAAAACTGTAATTAAAATAGATGAAATATATTATATTTTGTTAGTAAAAAAAAAAAAAAATTTATAAGTTTTACATTTAGAAAAATTATTTTAAAATACGGTGAAAAATATTAAAAATTATAAATTAAAGGCATAGAAAGAATTTGTGGATGAATTATTTAAATACAATAATTATATATGAAGTAATAATAATTTTTAGATGTATGAATAATCAAAAAAAATCAACATAACTCTATTGAAAAATATTATTATATAATATGCAAAAATAATTAAAAAAGGAAAAACTTAGCTGATTATGTAGTTATATATAGTTCAATTGTGCATTATGATAATTAGAGCTAGGATTTTAATGATCAAAAAATACATAAAAATGCACAAAAAAAAAAATGACCATAAAATGTACTTAGATGAGCGAAAAAATTAATTTTAAAATAATTATTACTATTTATTATTTATTCATTTTTTATATTATACACAATAGGTAAAAATGTGTTCTAAGAAGTAAATAGAATAAATATATTCAAATTTGGGTTGAAAATTACCTATATTACTTTTTTAATGTCAATGGAATGGAGTAGGTAATTTACAACATATATTGAAGAAAGCTTAAAATAAACAAAAATGAGTTTAAATACACAAAATTAATGTAATATTTATAAAAATGTAATAAAATGCATTTAATCCAAAAAATATAAAAAATGCAAAAGTCATTAAAGTCCTAGCTCTAATGATAACTTATTGAATAAACTGAACACCATGATCTGAAATATTACATTCCGTCCATGTATTGTTTTCAACTGCTTATGAAATATGTGAATATGGATAGACAATCTTGCATTGTTTATAAATCGCAGCATTTGTACTTTTTTATATTATGTTTTTATATTTCAAAGTTCATAAAATCATGTTTTTTTAATTTAAAATACCAAAAAAATATCATTTTAAAACGAAATGAAAAGATTGGTATGTACATATTATGATTTGTAGGTACCTAACAGAAAAAATTATATGTAAATTAATAACTTATTATATGAAACTTAAAGGAGTATACTTAATTAAATTATCTAAATTTGTAAGATGTACACTTTTTATAAATTTAAGGTTTTTCTTATTTATGTTTAATATTTATTCATAAAACTAAGTTGTAAACAAATGCTTGTAGTTATTTCTTTGCTACTTACTTGAAGAGATGGAACTTATTAGTAAGTTTTACTTGTTTAATAGTATCAATTGAACTAAAAAAATCGTAATCTAATTTACTTATAGAAAATATATGGTGTATTTTAAAAGTAAAAATGTATTAGATTGAATTCTCAATCGGTTATTAAACAATTCTGTTTTGATTTTTATGTATTAAAATAGAATGATATTTTTGTAATTTTAGGTTTCAACAAACTAAATAAACGATAATATTATTATCGCTATAAGGTATGAAATCATTTCAATTCAATATAAATTTGTGGCTGCCTAATATTTTAATTATGTGTATGTATAATCATCATTTATATTTTAATAAAACATTATTAAATGGTTTATCGTTTAATTTTGTGTGTAAATGTTTTTAACATGTTATTTTATATATATTATATATAAATAGTAATATGCATAGTATTATCTGAAAAATATTCAACGCAATCACACATGAACGTTAAATTTGTATAATGTTCTGCGTCATCAGTTTTTTGGAGTGCTCATTAAAGTTTGTACATATAGTACACAATCCAAAACTACCCGTGTTTTCGAAAAACATGAGTCTGCTAAAATTGTAGTTTCCTGCGTATGTTTACGACTTAAAAAAATATTGTTTTGTGTGTCAATTAATGATTATATACATTTCATAATATTATTTGTGTTTAAATAAATACTTGTGCGTGTGTGTATTATAGAAATGTATAAATTAAATATAATTTAAATAGATGTATACAAAGTAAAATATTTCGTCTAAAATCATTATTTTATCATAATTAATATTGTTTATACGAATCTGTTTGAATGTAAAAGTTAATTATTGAAATATTTATTTTAAGTTTCTTATGAAAAAATAAATATAAATATAAAATATTCCGCTTATAAACAGCATGTTGTGCACAAATATGTTATCAATGAAGGTTGTAATAAATGTATCTATGTACCTTTATTATAAACGTGTGTTAATTTCAGTTTATTTTCATTCGTTACGAGTTAGTTGTAGTGAAATAATACGTATAAGTGATAGATTTTTGAAAAAATTTTATTTCGTAACATATAGAGTATTATAATATAATTATGCAAAGGTGGGCAAGATAATAAAAACTATAATTAACTTAGTTAATAATATAACTAGTAAATTAAGAATTTTAAGGTATAATATAGTTATCAAGCTATCTATTTAATTATACAATTTTTAAGTTAATATGGATGAAAAAATTGAACTCAGTTTAGTTAAACACAGATTAATTAATTTTATTTTTATGACAATTGGGTTGTATTACGTAAAAAGAATCCTTGCACGCTAGTTGTTATACATCATATACTATAAAGAATAGGTACGCGGCAAATCAATTTTTTATATAAAGAGATATTTATTTGTTTGCATTCTATATTTAAATCATTGTATACACTCTAATTTAGGTACCAACTATACTCATTTTTTTCTTTATTAATATTTTTATTAAAATTTTATTTTAAATATTTTAAATTTTATTTTGAAATTCTATAGTATACGAACCATATTATTATTTTAAAATACTTTTATGTAATTTTAGAATTTTCCAGTGGAAATACAAACTGATTTAAAAAAAAAAAAATCAAGAACTTGAGAAAATATTAAAATTTTAGAGATAATTTGTCTAGTGGATAATTTTTTTAAATGTTAAGCTTTGTATGCTAACTGCAGCTAAGGATAATATTCCATGATAATATGTTTTGATGATAATCATTAATATATACATATAAAGATTTGATAATTATTGCAATTAGTATAAAATAACAACATGTGATAATTTGTTAAAATTGCGGGGGCATAATAATTAAAAACTATTAAATATTATATGATATATTTTTTTGTAAAAATATTGTGTATGATTATTTTTTATTAGTAAGTACATTAAGTTTAATAACTCAAAACCTACTCGTTATAATTGTTTTAGATACACATCTAAAATATTTAAAAAGAATAATCTGTTTGACAATTTACAGTAAAGGGTAGTCATCCTTAATTGTGTAAAAAATCTTAGATACTAATTATTTGAAAATAGTTTGAATTTAAATAGATGTATTATTAAAGAATTTAAGAGGTTGAAACACTCTGTACAATCTGTAATTAAAAAAAAATAAAAAAAAAATATATTTATTCATTTTAACTACAGTTACAATCGTTTAAATGCATGTAGTTATAGTATATGATTTTAATTTAATGCGTTATTTTTAAAATTAATTGAAAAAGTCGCTACAATATTCAAAAAAATATAAAATTTATTTACGCACATACTCGTATGTTCAGATTTAGATAATGAAATCATTTTAATGGAACTTGTTACTAGATAAAGTTTTTTTATGGTAATGTCTTAATACGAGTATAGCTTATGAATTTATTAAATCATAATTAACTGATAATACATAATTTATAAAATTACCAAGACAGCTGTTGTAAGCATATGTCAATATTGATTAAGTAATGTTGCCATATTTGATATAGAAATCAAAATGGTAAAATTAGTTATAGTACAAAATACAATCCTAAAAGTCAAATAAATGGAAAAAATACAATTGCATACGTTAAATATAATTACACGATTGTGCAATGTCGTCCAATTTAATAACTCGATATTATAAATTTTAAGATAATTAATGTCGTATTTATCTCATCTTTTATCGTAATTTTGAATTTCCCGCCCATATATGTATGCAATAACACGTATGTGGTTAAGTTACCAAGTAAATACCTAATGTAATAATACCAGTTATCATCATGAATCAGTAAACGAAGTACGTGTTATTTTGTTTGAAAGGAAAAAAAATTGCTCGTGGTAAAAATTTTTAATAAAAGAGAAGATTGTTTGATGAAATGGAGATGTACCTGAAAAATATGTTCTGCAGCTACTTTACTAACGAAATTGAATTACGCAGTTCTATTAACAGATGGTGATCACGAGTGTCCAATAGAACACAACGTTGAGCTACTACAGGTATTTAAACATTTTTATAATTATTTTTCGTCCACATACCAACCTTTATTTGATTATTCAAGTTTTAAAAGGAAATTGCAAGCAGAAAGCTTCTGAATTCATGTCTAAAAACCTTTAAAACTCATAAGAACTGAATTATTAAAGAGTACTGAACGAATTGAATATAAAAATGTTAAATAAATAAGAAAAGCGATTTATTCGGAACGTAGAAAACCGTTTCCAAAATCTATAGATAACATTTTTTTTTTTACAGTTAAATTTATGGGTTAAAAATTAAATTACTCCATTGTACATTTGTACCTACTTAATTTGGTAACGCCGTAATAAGTTTAACGCACAATCGTGCTTATATTTTACCTAAAATGTATGTTTTATTGTCTCGTTAAAACGTGTGCAATCGTATTTTATCAAAATAAATATAATATAAGTTTTAAAAAATTATATTTATACCATAAAAGTATAAAACGTTGCAGATATTGTTGGAGATTAGTGAACCTTTTAATTATTTTATTTGTAACCTTATAGGTACTTATAAACGAGAAATTATGTATCTTTAAAATGGAAATTATCTGTTTCCGTCAAGGTTTTAAATACCCGTTGGCTGTTTCTGTCAATATTAAAGTAGGTTTGATTTTCGTTCTCGCATTGCTATGATTCAAATACGTTGACATAACTGAAAATCAAAAAAAAAAAATGTATCTTTCCTGTTATTTAATGGTTGAATAGAATCTTACTTGTATATAAATTTAAGGTTTTATAAATTTTTTACAGTTCACTTACAATATAATATAATATTAGTATGAAGTATAATATTTTGATATGGTTTATTATACGAA